ATCCGATTCCCCCTGCCAAATAGTGTCGGCGATTCCCCCTTGCAAAACACTGTCCGATTTTCCCTACAAACAAAATTGTCCGATTTTTCCTGCCAAATAAGTGTCCGGCAGGACGTACGTGCGCCCTTGTGTTGGAACGACGGCGCCCGGACACTATTTGGCATCGGGCACTATTTGGCATGTATTACATGCCAAATAGTGTCTGGCGCCCACTGCGCATGCTCAGCGGACACTATTTGGCACCGGACGGTTTTTGGCACGACACCGGGCTTCGAGGTGAGCCAGTTGGAATCCTAGTTGCAATCCTATAAATACGGCACACCGGTTGTGGAGCTGGCACAGAACGGCCAAGAAAGTTAAGGGAAGCGACTTCAACTGCCGAACAGACGATTTCAAGTTGAGAGAAGCCGACACTTTATAGTTGCAATAATTCGACAAGATGAATGCCTGTCATGTCATCTTTGTTGTCGCCATTTCGGCCATCATGATCCTCGGTGCAAATGCATACCGTAAATAGTAAGTTCCGATTAAAGACTTGATTTAAAGCAAAGCAAAACAAAACAAATCTCCTGTTTCTGGTACACGCGCACACCGCCGTGGAACTTTTTTTCAATGTAAGATGATGTCTCAAAATAGGTTGACGGGAATCCTGCTGCCGCACAATTTCAACGTGTTTTTAGATGAGGTTACGTTCGAGTATAGGCTAAATTTATGTGGCCCCTCTGGGCTGCCATATATTTTGCACTAAATTTAGTCGGGCACCATTTTGCAGCCGGTATTGTAAATGTTTTAATTCAACCTCGTCCCCAGTGCTTACTTTATTTCCAACCGCGTTTCCAATAGTAAACCCTGGATAGGAAACTTTCTTCCTGTATCCTGATTGGATACCGCAATTGGCTAGTAATGGATATTTATCGTGTACTTGGTGCTATTATTCACAACGTGCAGTACGTGTTTTCGCGATCATTCGTCCACGCCTTCTCGAAAATACTAATTTCCTTTCCAATTTGCTCATATTAATATGAACTATGATACTGCATGTTGTCTCGATAAGATCGTAACAGTTTGATTTCAAAAATCGTGTTTTCGTAACTCACGCCGTGCTCGCGCTGCTACGAATTGACTCTGTTTTTACCCCAGACACCGCATACAAAAACAAACGCTAATGTGTAACTCATATCCAGGCACCAGACTGTTCCTCATTTGCATACATGTGCACAAATCTTGCACATGCAAATGATCCAATACCAGGGTGAGAGAGCAGGTAGTGGTGGGCGCGTACTGCTCGACACCCTGGGAACGAGGTTGGTTTTAATTGTGCCAGACTAAGGGAGCGATGGTCGTGTATATCTGGAACCTGTAAACGCTTTAAAGAGGCGCAATATGTAAGGGAGCAGACTAATAACCAGCCTGACAGCACATGCACGATGCCGATGTCGCTGTTTGGTCTGACGTTACCGTTTTCTCTGATTTTTGTCTTGACTTTCCAAATTTCCCAAAGAATGTTCGTGTCGGTCGAGATTGTTATGGGTGCAAAATTCTCAAGCCTTATGGCCTTACCGAGGTCATCGCAGGTTCCACCCTGAGGGCTATTTTTGAGAGTTTTGGGGGGATAGGGGCGACCAAAATCCCCCAAAATGCCAGCCGTGGATATTCATTCAAAGGGGGAGGGAGGGGGGGGGGGCGTGGACAACACCATTACACTAGGGGCGTTGTTCATAATACAGCACATACATCTTTAACAAATGTATACATGTGCGTACGCGCCTTAAACATCAACACATTAAAACGGCGCATTTAATTAGAAACATCTCATTTTTCGATTGATGACATTCTGGTTGATGGGAAGTTAAAAAAAAAACCTGAAAATCCGCATTTTTTTCTCAACACGAAAAAGTGCGAGGGGTGGGAGATCCAATTGCCCATCCCCACCCCCCCCCCCCGGTCAAAAACTGGCCGGGGATGTATAACCACCCCCCCCCCCCATTCCCGGATTAACGCCCCTGCCTCCGACTACCGTCATTTAAAGGGGAAAACTACTAACAAGTTAGTATGCAGTTCGAATCATTACATTACCACTGAGCTTTGTATGTTTTGTTTTTCTTTGACGCAGCTGTTATTGCGATCTTCGATGGAGCACAAGGGAGCTAAGAGCAGGGCAGAGCGCCAATGGTTTATCGGTCTTGGAGGACCTACCTAACCCGAGCTACCACCACTGGCTGATCCCGAGCTGCAGACGGGTCAATCAAAACTGCCCCGACGACTGCCTGGATGAGGCCCATGACTGGATGGGCGGGGCTAGGTTCACCAACACGGCGGGCCAGCTGGCCTGCGAGAGCGTGCGGAGGAACGCGCCTCCAGGCAGTCCGATCTACGTGTACGCAACGTACGACAGCGTGTGCGGCGATCGCACGTGGCAGTATGTGGCCCCGCTCTGCTGCTGGGAGCTCTCGTTCCCTCAATACGACATCAGCGGCATCTTTCGGTACAACCACAGATGTGAGGAGCCATGTCCACCGAATAGACCAGGATGCTGAGTTGTTTCTAGTTACAACCATACACATGATGGTTGGTGTCATGATGCTGACTAGCGAAGCTTCAACTTCATGTGAACTCATACACAGACTGCATGGCGCTGACGCTGTAACATTGCTATTGCGAAACAATAAATTGTTGCAAATTTAATCTTCAGATTTAAGTCAAAGTACCAAACTACTTCAATAAACGGTATTTTGGAAGTTGTAGTACTCAGAACATATACTTGTTACACCCCCTAATTCGCTTGAACTCTGTCCCGTTAAAATTTAGAAAACAGTAGTCATAATTACCGATTTTTTTATTGATTTACTTAACGTGCAGTAAACGTAATAAATTAACATTGTGAGGCTATTTTCGTTTTTAACACATCTCCTGCTTGTTCTTTATCCTGGTTGGCTGAAACGCGGTCACATGTGATTCACTTAATATGGGCTAGTGTGTGAAACTAGACGCGCGTCGAGACATCGCGCGCGCGTAATTTCCAGAGTATATAGCCCCTGATCGAGCACGTTTGACTGGTAACAGCGCCCTCTGACAAAACTCAAATTCAAAAATGTAATCTAGGGAAACTAAAAGCGAAGTTCCTTAAATTGTTGAATTGCTGACAGTTGAATTGCTTAGGAGTTAATTGTTGAATTAAAACAGTTCAAGAATAAAACACTGAAAGGTTTCTTTTCTTATTTAATATTTTGGACAGAGATGAGTTATAAAACATGGATCTGGCATATTAATTCGGTCCCCAGTGCACGTCTATGCCCCCTCGGGCCTGTGAGTGACCGGAAGAGCTAGGGTCCTATTATAGGACCCTCTTCTGGTCACTCACAGTCTCTCAGGGCGCAAAGACTAGTGACCTCATATTGCCAGTCTATGTGTATAATATATTTTTCGTTATATTGACTTTTTGTTCCTCGTAAATTGTGTTCAAGTTTTGTATCCTCTTGAAAGTGGAAGACATTGAGTCTTGATTTTGTTTGGTTTGTTTTGTTGTTGTTAATCACTGTAACAAAAAGGGATTTTAGAAGAGAACCTATTGTCATTGTTATTAGGACAGAAAATTTAAATTGTGCCACGAGCACTGGACTTGAGGAGGGGGGTCAGAAGAACCCCCCTAAAAAAAAACACATCAACTGCACGTCCACTTTTTCCTCGCGATTGACATTTCAGTTTGACTAAATGTTTCCTATTCAACCGCTGTTTATAAGACATGAAAAGGTCCACCTCATAAAACCACCTTCCATCGACTGGCTATGGCCCTGATGATTTGTATTTTTCAGATGCTTTCAGGTTAAAAATGAAGGAATTATTACAAAGCAAAATTAATCCACTATGACACATAGTTTCAGAACAGAGGTTCGATTTGTTTTTGTAAACCATATGCGGAGGAATTGGAGGTTGGTGGCCTGAGCTTTATCAACTGATCACCCAACGGTAAAAGTTGGGGAAAGTCCCTTTGATACGACCGATGACCTCGAAGTTCATGGGCCAATGACGGGGAAAGCAGCGGGGGAGAATTTTATTATTCCTCCATGGGAGAAGCTAGCACGCCGGAGAAGTGAGACCGTTACACCGGTCCCGGATACGCGATCCCCACGTCCGGAGCCGCGCCCCGCGGGGGTGTGAAACTGCGGATAAGGACTCTTCACATTCACAAGGTCACATCTGTTTTCCCGACTAAAGCCTAATTTGGTTTTCAACTAAATAAAATTCTGCCAAAACCAAATCCTTGACATTTTCAGGAAAATAAGAATCTATAATCATAATGTAGTGATCGAGACGTCTTTACGAGGCACCGTACAATTGGCACACGGCCCAGAAAAATGTAGACAAACGCGCACTCAGCGCATGCAGTGAACGCGCATGCGGTTTGGAGGATTTTTTTTTCAAGGGAAAATAAAGTCCGATAACCTGACTTGCAACTCAACGTACTTCGAAATACGCACATGTGTACGGAAAAACATATCGCCACGTGTGGCACTATCAGAGCGCCATTTTGTTCTATTAATCACCTGATGAGTTGACCTCAGAGACACAAAAGGTTACCGATTAAATTTCATGTCTATATTTGGACCATTCAACTTCAAACGCATTATCTGGCATTCTGAGCGCTTAGTTGATCGAGCCTTACTCATCATGAGTATGAATTCCTTTGGGGAATCGGGCCGGTTTTTATGTGCCTCTACGCGAAAAAAATCATTAAAAACGGGACCTTTTTCACATCTGTCGCCACCACTTCATTACTCGACATAGTACACCTTAGATCTCATTACAGTGTGACCCTAACAATATACTCTTTCAGAAAATGAAAGAAAACTGAATAAAACACTGAGGTTCACTCGCGCATTCTTATGTTAAACACTGCATTTTTAGTCAAAAAATCTCCCTGTTTTGTGTGTAAACCGCGCGTTCAGCTAAGAACTAGCCCATTAACATCACCACAACGTTAAATAGCGCCACCTTGGAGCTTAGATCTCTTGAGTCATTTGTCTTCGTCTCGTCAGCTTTCCAACAGTATAACCCTTATTGCATTGGGATTGGTTGAGATTTAGGCTCGAGTGTGTTCATTTACATAATGGCTCTTGGCTCAGCGCCTAGGGTCTGTATATTGTACATGTGCTAGGCAGCGCTAGTGTACATGTACAATGTATACGCCACACACACACACACACCCCCCGGGGAGCGCTATCTGGCTGTGCGCTTTGATCGGTTTACATGGGGTCCTTTTGTCTGCAAAGGATTTGAATATGATAAACGATTCCATTCCATAGTCCATTTCACACTACTGACTGTACTACCACACAATAACTCCAAATACTTATCAGGGCTTCGTAAGCCTCAAAGGTTTGCCCTATCTACAACGTTGATTGTGTACTTTCGATTTTAGATCACAATAATTACTTTGATTTCAAGTGCGTCCTGACCGTGAACTTCTAAAGTTTTCAGCAAACCTTCTAGACTACGCTTACAGTATCGCATCACAGGAATCCAGTGAGGTATTAGATCGGATCGGAGCAATATGGCGGAGAAACGAAAGGTCAAAGGTGAGTGGTTGCTGGACATACGTGCACACAGGCTATCTGCTGCTTGGACCCAAAGTCGCCAACACACACAAAAATGGAATTCACATGAATTTTCAAGTTACATGCAAACTACACACTGTCTATAAAAAAAAATGTGGGTAAAACCATAATTATTGCATGGTAAAACTATGAAGAAAGGAACCATTATGTTTACATGCAGTGGCGTATCAAGGAGGGGTGGGGCGCCGGGGGAGGGACCGTCCGGGGGGGGGGGGCGTCTGAGGGGGGCACATGCTTTCCACGAATTTCCAGTGCCCCCAGGTGCCCCTCCCCACCTTACCATAAACTGGCATCGGGTCGGGTTGACAGCAGCTACCCGGATTGACACCAAATTGACATTCTAATCAGAGCTGCAATCATCCGAACGATCCGATCCAACAAACTCTATGGGGAAAAGCGACCCGAACCAAACCCGAACTGGCTCGAACCGGACCATGTGCCCTATAATGAAGGCGCCAAGCCAAAAAAAAACACTCACAAAACCTATAATGCTTGTAACTAGCTGTGCCCAGCAGCAGTACGATCGTAACCCGTTAAATGAAAATTTTCATTTTAAGGTTTAATGGAACGCCTGCGCGATGGTGAGACGGTCATCTGCGCGGAGGGATATCTCTTCGTGTTCGAGCGACGCGGCTATTTGACAGCCGGCTCATTTGTGCCGGAAGTAGTTCTGGAGCATCCGGAATTAGTCCGGCAGCAGTATGAAGAATTCGTCCACGCCGGAAGTGACGTCGTGCTGGCGTTTACGGTAAGTTAATTTTGAAATCAAACTGAACTAACCTTAAAATAACACCAGGAATACAATTTTTGCACATTTGCTTGAAGTCAACCGCCCAATGCTATACATTTCAGTATTACGCACATCGTGAAAAGATGGCGCTGATTGGTCGAGAGGACGATCTGGAGCGAATCAACAAGCACGCTCTGCGCATGGCACGTGAGGTGGCTGACCAAACTGGTACTCTGATGGCTGGTAACATCAGCAACACCAACATCTTTGTGGACACTGTGCCCGATTATCGAGAGAAAATCAGGCAGATTTTCAAAGTAGGTATTCGTCATATTTTTTTCAAGCAAACATTCCTTTCACAATAAGTTCATTGACTGTGTGCATTTGGTTGCAAATTGTTCACTTCTGTACGCAGACATAGTTACGATGTACACGTGCATTGTTCAGTGGTGATTTATGTGTTAGAGGTACCGGTAGGCCTAATAGGTCACGTTTTTGAGCCCATGGAACGAATAATGAAGCTCGCTCACGGATACACTTGCTTGTTTACTTTTGTTCGTTATTATTTGCTTCTGGTAATGAAACCAAAGACTCCTCAAAAACGTTCCACTACAGTACAAGCCTGAAGAACCCATAAAAACGGAAGACAATGAGATAAATTACAGGGTTTTTGAGGTGGGAGGAAAACCCCCGAAGAATATTTCTGGGAAAACTGGAAACTCAAAGTCAAACCACATGTACCGGGCCAAGAATCGAGCCCAGTCACACAGGTGGACTTATAGGCGAGGACAGAACACAACCTGACTCCCATGTTTACTATCGCAGTTTACCAAGCAACGATTTGTATATCGTAGTGATTATGATGGTTACTGAGGTCATTTCATATATTTTGGGGTCCATTTTTCGTGTTCCCTGTAACATCTGGTATAAGATTTGGTTAAATTCAGGACACATTGTTTAATGCTTCTTTTTCAAGAGCGATTACGTAAAGTACCCGTCAATCAAATAAAGAATATTCAATGGACCGATCCAGTAAGCACCGCCCCATGGTGTACTGACCAATCACAGCCGTGATTTATGTCCGACGTGCGTGCACAGAAGTCTGACATGCGTGCACGCGCATATGATGCGCGCGGCAGGAAAATGCAGCGTGGCATTGGAGAGGAGCACGTGGTAATTTGCCCACGTGCGCAGTGGGCGGGGCTTACTGGATCGGTCCATTGTAATTATTGTATGACAAAGTACACACTGGCAAGGTGTAACCAGAACCCAAAATGCACACCTTTGGACCCTACAAATATGGAATGACACACTTGTCTCTTCAATTTCAGGAGCAGTTAGAATGGATAGTGGAAGCGGGTGCTGACTACATTGTGGCAGAAACCTTTGATACATTTGGTGAAGCGTTGATCGCTACTCGGGCATGCAAGGAGTTCGCAAAGGGTGCGTTCGATAATATAGTGGTTGGTCTTTCTGATGAAAGTACCTTAATTAAAAAAAGTTTGCCATTATAAATGCCTCCTATTATATGCAGGATACACTGCTAGCTATACCTTCATGTCCCCATAGCTGAAGTCTGAAGGACAATGACGACAGGGAACCTGACTATAAAATGTTTACAAACATTAGAAAGGTCTATACGGGTAAGGGTCCAGTATATTTTGCCATTGAGTGGTAATTACACGCACTTTATTATTAAAAATACTCACAACTCTCTGAGGTATTCATTTTCTGTTCAATCTTTGCGGTTTGGGGAGAAATTTCCATCCGAAGATGATCACCCCTAAAAAATAGTCCTGAAGCCCATCGCCATTTTGAAAAACGATGCCTACGCTCCATTACTAAGTAAAGCGCACTTATAGGGCCCAATTTCATCCAAATTTCACAGAAATACAAGCTCACAGCTCTGTGCACGGCTTCCACCCTTCTTTATATTTACAAACCCTCAAGTTCATGGCTGACACTAAATGCTCTTATACTGAAGAATTTGAGGGCATGAAAATCGTCATTCGGCCGGCGTAGGCAATTTTGCACCGATTTACTGGTCTGGCCCAATTTCATGGCGCTGCTAAGCACAAAAATTTGCTTAGCACAAAAAAAGTCTGGCTTATAAAAGCAGGTTACCAGCCAAAACTCCATGTGATTTTCATTTTAAGCGAACAACAGATGAATACTAATCACGAGTAATATACATCACGTGGAGCTTTGGCTGGTAACCTGCTTTTATAAGCCAGTCTTTTTTGTGCTAAGTAAATTTTTGTGCTGAGCAGCGCCATGAAATTGGCCCCTGGACGTTAAGGATTTGGGATTTTTGACATCGGTTCCACGCATACAGATCTTCCCTGCGTTGTGACTTTGACCTGCCATCAGGGCCCGCTGACTTTGGACGGCGTGGAGTACGCCGAAGCGTTCAAGCAACTAGCGGAGGCGGGGGCTGACGTGGTGGGGCTGAACTGCGCGCGGGGACCGGCCACGATGCTACCCGTTCTGGAGGAAGCTGGGAAACTTTTCAATAAGGTGGGAGTTTAGACAATGCTAGTTTGGCTTGCAATTCAAAATACATATGCTAAAGCTTGATTACCATTGGGGTGTTTTGATCACGGTTTGAGAGTTTTGATTTTTCCAATGAGACACTGAACGAAAAATGTATAGGTCCACGTTTAATTCATTAAAACCCTTTGACGCCGGGTGACGGCTATAGCCGCAATTCGATGAAAGGCGGTAAGAAGGACACTGCTATAGCCGCATTGCTGCTGCATAGCCGCATTCATTCATAGACACTTCAGTGAGGCGCCGAATTACAGAAAACCAACACTTCAACACACGCATGGACACACCCATGCACACGGGCTCAAAAGTCAATCATAGACAATACCCGTAGCCAAACAATACTAGCGTTAAGGGATTACCAAAGTTTTTCAATTCAGAGTTTGAATTAGGAGCTGGGCGCTAGGTGCTTGAAGGAACATCCCTTGTGATGTCTTAATAAATTTATATTTCTTGTTCATTCTGTAATGCAGGTTCCCCTCGCGGCCTTGCCCGTGATGTACCGTACAACCAAGGAACAACCCAACTTCATTTCTTCCATTGATCCAATTTCAGGTAATGATGTGACATAATAGCATTTGACTATGATCAATTCTGTACTTCATGAGTGATCTGGGGTTTAAAAAACATCACTTAACTTTAAAATAAAAAAGACACAAACGAATTTGCTGGACGAACATTCGTCGGACAACATTATTATAAGTTAGTTAACAGCTGCGGCCAATTATGTACAAAAACGTAGTAGCCTACGTTGGTCTCTTTCTTAACTTAGCTCTCTAAGATTAAGAATGACCTGTCACAAGTACATGTAGTAATGTGGCTCATTACTTCGACGTTTATCACCGACTTCTTAATTACAAACCCCACAAAATTTCTCGCTACGCTACTCCATCTTTACTCATCATGTTTTCCTTGACAACGTTTTTTTTTAATAGTTTGAGGTTTGTTTCTATAGGTGAGCCATTGTTTCCTGTGAATCTGGACTGCATCCAGTGTAACCGTAAGGACATCCACGACTTTGGCAAGCGAGTGCAGGAGCTGGGCATCAAGTACGTGGGTCTGTGTTGCGGCAACTCGGCTCACCTGACTCGGAGCCTGGCCGAGAGTCTGGGCCGAAAGCCCCCGGCCTCCCGCTACTCAGCAGACCTGAACAAACACTGGCTGCTGGGACATGACGACAAGCTGCCTTTGCTGGGGCAAGAATCCAAGACAAAATACGCAACCAAGTTGGCTAAAGTTGAGAAATAGTTACGAAAATTACTGCCACAGACATTATCAGTCCTGTGTAACGGCTAAATTTTGTTGACTCTTGGTGTCTTAATTGATGTGATATTTTGGTCGTTGAGAAGAATGAAAAGGCCATTATAATTTAGATACGTGTAAGGACGCCTTATATAAGGTAATTGGTTTACTTTACAATGATTCTTCACTCCGTTCGAAATAATGGCAAATCACCTTAAACAGCGTAAACTACAATTCTCAGTTTTAAAATGATCGAGGCGACATTGAAAGGAGATATCTGTGAAAACGATGATGCTGGCCGGTAGTGTGATTATGATTTGATGTGAAGATAGAAAATATGATTGTGGTGGTGGTGGTGGAGACGATAGTCAGTATTATATGACGATGGTGATTTGGTGATTTGGTGATAATGATATTGATAGGGATGGTGGTGATATCAAGTTTAAAGGGACATTACGGCCCGAAATCTCCGGAAAAAAACTATGTTTTGGATTGGTTATCCTATTTTAAAGGTCTGATTGAAACGAAACTATCCTAATGTCTTACCATTCCAGTGAAAAGACCAACAAATCAATGTGTTTACATCACACGCGGCGGACCTTTTGTGGCATACGCATATACGTATTTTCAGCCGTGTCCCACGGTACTTGTTGTGTATGTGGTCACATAATACACACAGCACCAATACACAAATGATGTTTCTTGCACGTCCGCAGAATGCAATGCACTTTGCATGCAGCATGATTCACAACTTTTAGACTTTTGGTATATAAAGTTATATATAAGCACCACATTAGTATTAGGCATATGATGATTTCCATATAGTATTCAATAATGTACTTATTTCACTGTATTCATTGCAGCTTATTGTTTTGTATAACAGCAATTAAATTTGACAAAAAGAAAAAGCTGTCTATTTTTCATGATAATTTCAGAGAGGCAATTAAATTGGTAATTTCTTCAAGCTGGCTGTGGATTTTCTTTTCGTTTTCAATCAGTCCTGACTCCTATACAATGGCGAACCAAGAATTTGGCTTTGGGGTGGGGCTAAAAAAACCCATTTTTTCAGGTTTTTTTGCAGATAATTTGGCCCAAAATATTTGGCGGCAGAAAAAAAAATTGGTTTTTTTTGTGAGGGGGGGGTGGAGACTATTTTGAAAACAGGCCTCATTTCGAAAATAGGCCACATACATCATCAAGTTCAAATCGTGGGATTAAAAAAAAGAAGGAAAAAAAATTACAACTTCTGTTGGGGGCGCAATTCCCCCAAGCGCCCCCCCCCCCCCCCCCCGTGCGCCACTGCTCCTTCATACTCGGGTTGGGTAAGTAAATTGCCTCTATAATTGCAATGAAAGAGGAGATTTTTTTTGGGGGGGGGTTGAGGGTGTGATAATCCATTCGTATTCCATGATGCATTCAGCTTTGCAATAAATAATATCAGTTGGTAAAGTTGATCGTTGTCAAGGAAAAGGTTCCACTTAAAAAAACGTCTCCTAAAATGAATACACAAATTGAACCATCTTTAATTGAAATTTTCACTTATGGATGCTATTTCGTGCTTGAATAACCGTTACAACATCAAAACATTCTGTCTCATATACGTACACAAGTGCCTAGAAGCCGTAAATTTGCATCTTAGATGGTTAGGCCATGGAGAAATGTTTTTTATTTCTCCATGGTTAGGCTCTCGATAATCAAGACTTCCCTTCCCAGCGGACGCGCTGTTGCTCCCTTATAATCTGGAGGCACACGCCAACCCGCGTTTAACTCCTATTTTAAGGATAATAGATAATTCTATTCTAAGGAGAGAAAAAAGAGAACGAGGAAAACTAAATTATGCCTGACATTTGATGAATCCACCTACACGGAAAAAAGTCGCCTCCCATAATTATACGTAAATGTTCATGCATACCTGCAGGCTGTGCTTTAGTATAGCTCCATGCTCGAACAAACGCAGACGATCAATGGTTGTACGAAGGCCACGTGCTTTTGCAATCTTCTCTTCGCCCCTGGATAATAAATAAAAAGGGATACGTTTGGCCCTGGAACCACAATTTATTATGCACTGACACAGCGCCAGCATCTATGATCTAGAGCAGTGACCTTTCAGCCTGCACACGGTGGTTGTGGATCGAGTTGCAGCATATTCTGGTAATGCTGGGCTACAATTTGTCAGTTCATGTACATGTATGAAGACTCCATTTTAGGTGAGTTGTTACAATAATCTTGGTCATTGCCTACGGTATAGCTCATTTGCTGTCTCTTGTTGTGAACCATATTGCTTTGGGACAGGTATGCAGATTCGATCTACCAAGTTGAAATATCCTAGAGCTCTTGCAACATACCATTCCATCGTCGGAAGCTATATATAAATATAGCCTTTATCAAACATTGTTATGGAAGTTATTATGGTTTTTATTGACTGCTCTATGTTCCGACACCCCTATGTTCCGACAACCTAGATTGTGTTACTCCCGGTTAGGGTTAGGAATAGGAGTACATGTATGTGCAGTCGGAACATAGGGGTGTCGGAACATAGAGGTGTAACCGTTCTGATGAGCCCCCACTTGTATACGTTGGTGATTGTGTGTTCCCTGAGTTGAATCTTGGGAATTCTTTTGAGATCTAGCCTAGGGGAATGGGTTAGGTAACAATAGTCTATTGTGTACTTTTATAGGACTGGGACGCTAGAGTGGAGCCCCTAGCTCTTTCTCAGTTGTGCACGATAAATTTAGGCTTGGGCGAATCGGCAATTTTGGAATTGATTCCGATTCCATATGGGAATCGCGAGTCCATTCGGAATCGATTCGATAATTTTTGCAAAAAAAAAAAAAAAAAAAAAAAAAAAATACAAAATCAGAAATACAAAATCAGAAAAACCCAACAAAATAAACAAAAACATGACAATAAATACCACTAAAAACGAGGGCATTATGGGTGTAATCACTTTCTTATATATAGTCATTTAAATATTAAACGAAACTCACGTTTTGGGCAGGGAACACAATAAACTAAATGTTCTACAACTTTTTAATTTGTTTCCCCTGCGGAAAACACGCTAGCTCAAAATCAGAGCTCACCTAAGTTCGGCACTATCAACCAAAAAAGTTGAAAACAGTGTGGAAAGCACCCTGAAAACTGTCATTTTCCGTCGAAAACGATATAGTTCGTTGCCTTCTGTATAGGCCTGTGATAAGTTCTCAGACAACGGTACTGCAATGTCTTCAAATTGTAAATGAGCGAAACAAACTTTCATGGCTCGTTCCCTCGCCAGTTCGGTAGGATGCACCCACCCTGCACCCACAATATCGACCTCATGACAGCAGTATAGGTCCCGGAGGCCTTCAAGTAGAGTTTGTTTTTCTTCATAGGGTATCAAGATCGCTAACGTGAGTTCCAGCATGACTGAGAAGAAGCAGTGCAAAGGTGTGTTGTTAAGCTTTAATCCGCTCGATTGAAACGTGGGCGAGGCCATTTTCGTTGCCCATGAAATAATATCCTTCTAGAGCCCGCAACGCTGAGGTATTATGATAGAGCCCGCTGACATATTATGATACTCATACAATGGGGCCAAAAATAATCAATTGAATGCTACAGTTCCTACAATGCTACAGTTCCTACATTCGTTCTCAAATTGCCTTAGCATGCAGGAGAAAGCATCTTAGATTTCAAAGTTTTCCGGGGTCATGCCCGCAGACCCCCTCAAGACGTTGCTGGCCATCACTCAACCCCAGCCTCCTTCATGTCAACACCCCCCCCCCCGTTTCATGAAAGCCCCCTCCAATGGGAAACGTATAGTACTCCCTATATTGTTCAGATAATCCGTCATCACGGGTGGTTGCTTTGTACAATAGCTTGCACAATGGTTGCACCATTGAAGGGGGCTTCGTGAGTGTAAAGATCACATGCCCGGACTCGTCTATACAGGGTGGTTCAAAAAATCGGAACCTCATACTTCCACTCAAACCATTTTACCAATGCATAGAGAATCTTTTTAGAAGAAAAATGAAACCAAGATCGCCCGATTCGGTCCAGTAGTTTTTGTTCTAGAGCCTATATTTTGTGAAGCAAGGTGGGGTAAGTTTTGTCTCGATGAACTACTAAACCGCGCCCGGGACTTTGACTTACATTGTAATGAATAGAGGGGTTGTTATCTAATGAAAGAAGTATCCTTCACAAAATAGGCTCTGCAGCAAAAACTACTGGACCGAATCGGGATATTTTGGTATCATAATTCTTCTAAAAAGATTCTCCATCAATTAGTACAGGTGGTTTGAGTCTCAAGGTAGTGCATGGAAGAATGCCGTTCCGTGTTTTTTGTGACAACCCTGTATAGGAACCAATATCTGCAATTGCCTTGATATCTGATCACCAGGTCTGATAAAACTAATTGCATTTGTTGAAGGTTTGCTTGAACGGTTACGTAATGGCGAGACTGTTATCTGCGCGGAGGGATATTTGCTCGTGTTCGAGCGACGCGGCTACTTGACCGCTGGGGCGTTTGTTCCCGAAGTCGTCCTGGAACATCCGGAATTAGTCCGGCAACAGTATGAGGAGTTCGTCCACGCCGGAAGTGACGTCGTGCTGGCATTCACCGTATGTAAAAATGACAAGTTTAAAACATTGTCTTTACTGAACCGAATCCATTATTAATGCGCGATGCATCAGGCTCCTGGTAGCCATTCCGACTATTTAGTTTTCTAATTAACAAAAACGTAGGTACCAACGAAACGCCCACAACGTGTAGCTGATCGTTTAAGCAACATCATGAGCTCATTGCTCGAACTTTGGTCTTGTGTTAGCTGTTTGCCATTTTCATGTTGCACTACATATAGCCTACACATAGTGTTTGCTTAGTTTAGTCAGTAATTTGCCTTTTTTTCATGCGCATTCTGTAGTTTTACGCCCACCGGGAAAAGATGGCTCTGATTGGTCGAGAGAACGACCTCGAACGACTCAACAAGGACGCACTGCGCATGGCACGCGAGGTGGCTGACCAAACTGGTACCCTGATGGCTGGTAACATCAGCAAGGTTCAGTCATACGAGTCCGAGTTACCCAAATCTGGCGATCAAGAGAAAGTCAAGGAAATGTTCAAAGTAAGGGGGCAGTTTATGCCACGGGAAAGGACAATGCCATGTTTTGAACAAAGAGGGCGCACTCACGACGCCATTTTGGGGTACAAACATCATATCACGATACAAATATCACGTTTGTGGGTACATAACAATGTTCACTGAAACAACGCAGAAAGTTTACCAAAACTTAAATTAACAATTGTAAAGATGATTTTTGTTGAATTATAATGACATAGATAATGACATCAGAACAACAGGCTAACGTCTTTTAGTAACCCCAACATTGCTATGGCGTCGTTAAACTTAAAGAGGACTGCTTTTGTCATACTTATATACTTTGAATTCACTTGAGACTGAAGGACTTGTGATGGACTTCCGGTGACTTTTGATGGACTTGTAAGGACTCAATTTGTGGTGGGCATGCGATGACTTATTACGACTTTCGATGGACTTGGGACTTGTGATGGACTTGTGATGGACTTTTGATGGACTTGTCAGGACTTCTGATGCCTTGTGAGAACTTGGGCTTGTCAGGTCGACTTGCGAGGATTATGAGAACTTGTATATTGTGATACCTTGTGATGGGTTGTGAGTGCTTGCAATGATTGTGAGGACTTGTCATGATTTGTGACAGACTTTTCAGGACTTGTCAGGACTTGTCAGGCCTTGTGATTGACTTGTCAGGACTTGTAGGGACTTGTGAGGACGTGTTAGGACTTTTCATGATTGTGAGGACTTAACCAGGATTGTAAGGACTTGTGATGGACTAGTGAGTACATGCGAGGATTATGAGGCCTTGCGATGGACATGTGAAGACTTGGGAAAATGAGGACTTGTGATAAGTTGTGAAGACTTGTGAGGACTTGTGTGGACTTGTGAGGACTTGTGAGGACTTGTGTGGACTTGTGTGGACTTGTGATGACTTGTGGACTCCAATACAACACTGTTGTACGTTAAACTCAACGTCAGATTTAGTCTTTTGATATTAAGTTGAGAATGGTAAGTTGAACTCGGTGGAATTGTAAGACCTTATCAACTTTCTTGGTTCACCATGCAGGAGCAGATTTTGTGGGCCGTTGAAGCCGGCGCCGATTACATTGCAGCCGAGACATTCCACACGTTTTCCGAAGCACTGCTGGCGGTCGAGGCATGCAAGGAGTGTGCTCCAGGTATGGCAAGATAAATCTGGTTTGAGAGAGCGTCACTATTGTTGATGACTCTTGGAACAGTTCCGGTTTTACCATGATCAACATGACGTGCACGTGGCTTTAACACCAAAACATTGTGGGAGAATATCTGATTGCACGTCTGCTATAATTATAAGCATCTAGCACATTCCTTCCAGTTAGTGAAGATCGTTAGCAGTAAGCAAAGAGGGATTGTCCATTAAAATATTGACACAATTAAACAAAACTTATAAACATGTGACTGTTTTTCTACTCCAACTTATCGTTATAAAACATTAAACAACGCTAGTTTAGGCCCCCCCCCCCCAAAAAAGTCTCCGGTTTCTGGTATGCGCGCGCGTCGCCGTAGCCATGCGCGTCGGCAAAATGAAAAAGTTTTTTTTTTCAATGAAAGATGATGTCTCAAAACCGCCAAACTCACTGGTTTGACTGGAATCCTGCTGCTGCACAATTTTAACGTGTTTTTAGATTGGGTTATGGTCGAGAATAAGCTGTATGTGGCCTCTCTGGACTCCCATATATTTGCACTAAGTTTAGTCGGGCACCATTTGCAGTCATCAGCCGACATTATTTTGAAGCAAAACAATCAGATAAAAAAAAAAAAAAGCCGCGTCGCCGCACCACTTTTTGGGCAAGCTCCATACCAGAAACCGGAGACTTTTTGGGGGGGGGGGGGGCCTTAATCGGCCCGTTGATTGTCTATGGAACGTCTTTTGACGACCGGTGTCACATGAAAATTATCCGACTCCTATGAAAATCGGACCCCTATTTCCCTATTATTGGTTGATCCCTCGCACGTGACAGGTCACTCTCCCGAAACGATCCTAAAAGTAGCATAGTATCGTACTCACGCGTGCGCAGTACTACCAATGAGTCCACATTTCATGGAGTCGGATATTCACGCTACACCTGTCATTCGGTACAAATAATTGTCTTGGTCGATAAAATAAATGGCGCAAGAACCACACCGACCGTGAGATCCGTATGGGTTTCACTCTTCCAGTCTGAGTTATTCAATTCAAACACATGTAATAATAAAATTTAAAAAAAACATAAAATCGCAGGAAAACCGTGCGTTGTGACTCTGGCAATCCAGAGGAGCATCATCGACGGTAAACCAGCCACGGCGGACGGCGTGGAGGTATGCGAGGCTCTGAATCGACTAGCGGACGCGGGGGCTGACGTGGTGGGGCTTAACTGCGCACGAGGACCGGCCACCATGCTGCCAATTCTGGAAGACGCTGCGAAGAAATGCAAGGTGAGTTTTGGGGGAAAGTTTCATAAATGATAATAAAAGCCTTGCTCTACAGTCCTACCAGGCTTTTGGATATACAATGTGAAAAACCGTGGACATTATTTTCGTACACGAAAAATTAGTCAGGTTCTTTTATTATTTACTTGCCTGTATTTTGCTTGCAGGATACTTTTTTCCATCACAGTTCAGTACATTCCGGTGTTTGTATTTTTTCCTTTTAGGCACCGCTTGCTGCTGTTCCCGTTGTGTACCGCACATCGGAGAAAACACCAACATTCATGACTATCACAGATCCTATGACGGGTAAGTTGATGTAACAGTGATACTGTACATGTATGCACCCTGGACACCGCATACAAAATAAACCAACAAATTACAAACATGGCCAGGCACCAGACTATCTCGTATACAAAATACCAGGGTGGGCAGAAAGTGGGAGCGTACTGCTCGATGCCATAGGGACAAGGTTGGGAAGACACAAAATACCAGACTCAGTACGTACGTAGCTACAGTGCTAATACGATGTAGTCGGTGTTGTTCACATAGAAGTGAACATGAATTCGCGAGACTTGCAAGTTCTTTTTCACTGTCTGTTTTGCACCCAGACAAGCCAGCATTTCCCATAGATTTGGACTGTGTCCAGTGCAGCCGCACCGACATCCACAACTTTGGCAAGCGAGTGCAGGAGCTGGGCATCAAGTACGTGGGTCTGTGTTGCGGCAACTCGGCCCACCTGACCCGTAGCCTGGCCGAGAGTCTGGGCCGAAAGCCCCCGGCCTCCCGCTACTCGCCGGACCTCAGCAAGCACTGGCTGCTTGGGAAAGGCAACAAACCACCACAGGCCATTCTGGATTCCATGTCTGGCACAAATTAATGCTTAACTTCAAAATCATCTTATGAAACATGGATGCTTTGCATTACTCAATCAGTTGTATCAATAACAGAATAATTTGCAAGAGGCTGGTCTCCTGTTTCGTCTTTTTTTGTCCTTCGTTATGAAGTTTCTTACTGGCCTATACAGTGCGAGTCAAAAAAACTATACATTGTACACTTTTAAAATTGGCCACAGTTTTAGCAATTCTGTAGCAATAAAGATAAAATGTTTTCATATGTACTTTTAAAGTAACTCTTCCTGCTTCTTTTGGTGACATTTTCACTGGATTCGTTTTCATGCATGACTGCACAGGAGACAATTAAAGGGGTCGGGTGAAATATGACTAGCGCCAACTGGTCAGGGCTGGATAAGAATGAGACAATTTAAGAGTGTATAGTTTTTTTTTACTCGCACTGTAGTGTCGAAGCAGGGAACAATTTGCTGAGGGTCACAGTGGGTTTTTGTCAATTTAAAAAAAAAAATCCTTCCAAAATTCTGAGATTGTTGCTCTAAACAATTTTTTTTTAAATGAAGCCATATTTTTGAGTGAATGTAATGACGCGATTTTTCTGGTACCAACACTTAGAAAACTCAATTTGTTTGAAGAAATTTAGTAACTTTACTTTTATCTCAAAATTGTAAAAATATAATTTTTGAGCTGTAGCAGTGTGTTAACTTGAGCAATAACTTTCAATTCTTGGCCCACTTTTACCCCCCCCCCCAGATCTACTTCCTCTAATTATCATCATGTAAGATTAGGCATGTAACTAGAAAGTCACAAAAAAAGGAAAAAATTCTAATCTTTCCACCACTTTGTACAGTGTTTCTGCATTTTCAATGACACACATGGGAGGTCAAAAAAGAGAAAATCAGCGGATCCGAGAAAAAGTTGCATTTCTTTAAGTTAAATGCAGACCGTGTATATGCTGAGCCATTGTGAGCCACATTTGGTGATTGAGCATTCTATTTCAAAGAGTAGTATTAAACTATCAGTACATCAACACAAGAAACAAGTTTCAATTCTGTATTTTTCTTTGCTATATACAGATGTGCCAAGGTTTATTTCTGTTTCTATATACATGTACAAAAAGTGGATCTATAAATGTACAGGTTTCATAAAAAGTATTATGCTATACAAAGTTATGTTCTATACATTCTGCTAACATAAGTTAATAGAAAAGCAAAATACACTTTCTTTTGCATAACTAATTAATTTCAAATTAGCTTGACTGTCAAGCATAGCAATGTTAGGCCATGGAAGAACATTTGCCCCCCCCCCAATCCTCAAGAAAAACTCATGATCATTCCCTCAATGTTAGTGTTAATTTAAACATTTCCACTGCTCCTAACAAATTTATACATAAGCGCATTGCTGCCACGTTCAAAAGAGTTTTGCGTACGTTCATTCAATGTCTGGAACATCTGTGCATCTGACGATTCACTTATGTTGACATTTACGTCAACTTGATAAGAAGTTAACACAAATCAAAAATCAGGCAAAAGCCAGGCAAATAAAACACTGTGTCTGGCAATTTTCTTCCAATCTCACTTTAGCACACTGTTTTTCGTGTAGTTTTCAGGCAATATGGCCCCACTGACTTTATCTACAAGAGTTAAAACTGATTGCCATCTGCAAAGCAATAGAGACTTACGGGATAACGGGGAAGCAAAGATCCAACAGGCCATGTGTTGGAAGAAATGGGTCTTGATGCCACCCTGAAATGCAGAGAGAAGATATGCCAAGACATCAGAGAGAGTGTGTGGCCAACCATCACACTTCTGAAAACAGGAAAAGCTGGTAATACTTGTAATAATTATAAGGTGCATCAAAGATTGCCAGTTATCAGTACCAGGAACGCTTTAATAAAAGGCGTTGGAGCCTTTTATTTTCTCAAAAGGCAAGTCAGCAATGGGAACCGGCAGAAGTTTAAAGTCGACGGAAATGGCACACGAGAAGAGCTCATAAAAAAATACAATTCCTAGTTTAATATTCAAGAAATAATCCCTGAACATGGCAACCCTTCCAAGACTCGAATATACATCACTATTCTTTATTTTGAATCCAAGTAGTTCATTTGCAGAAAATTATTCTGAAGTAAAAAAGCAGAGAGGAGAAGACATTAAAAGTGCTGGTTTTCAATTCATATAATGTCCTGGTTTCCCAGGACAAACCAAGTTTGTGAAGGTCATCATTCTTGGGCTTTCAGAACATCAAAACATGATACACACACGCTTAATTTAGAGTGCAATTGCCCAATCAAAGAGAACGTATGTTTTTACTCTCTAAATTGAAATGATATCACTGATATGTATTTATGGTTTTGTTCATTACAGCATCTGTGTGTCTGTCACTGCACTATGAGATGGTCCTGCACCTGTTTAAGTGTTGTCTGGTTCCATTCATAATTGGTGACATCAACACAGGTTGGTACTGGTTCATAGCAGGTAAAATTCACTTCATACACACGTGAATAATAAGAATGCTAATGAAAGATTGCCTATTTTGAGCTTAGTGAGACCATTCTCAGAATATGCTGCATCCGTATGGGACCTCACAACAAAGCAGAACGAAACTCACTTGAAAGTTCAACGTCAAGCAGCTAGAGTTTTGCACATGAAATTACCAAAGGGATACGGGAACTGTTACTAAACTTCTGGATGACTTGGGATGGGACACACTACAGAACAGAAGAAATCAACAGAAATTATGTATGCTCTACAAGATGAAAAATGGGTTGGTCGACATTCCACTTCACAACTATGTTCAGCCTAATACCAGAGATACAAGGGAAAAACCACCAAAAATACATTCAAGTCAGTCAAAAAGCCAGGGCCTTCCAAGATTCATTCTTCGTGTCAACTGCAAAAAAACAGTGGTTAATGTGAATCTTAAATATTCAATTATTATTATTATTCTGTTTGATAGGCAAAACGACTTCCTGACGTATGGCATCAAAAATGACCGGGGCCAAAAATAGTCTACTGGGATATACAAGAGAGCGCTTTCTCCCAAAAGCAACATCCAAATCCTCCATCCCTGTCATTCTGGATGATGCCGAACCTAGTGGCATCCGAGGTCTTACGACCAAGTATTTCAATGGCGGGGTTGATGCCACGTTCTGTTGCGTCAACACCAAAGTGCTGCCCTATCATTAGCGCAAACTGGTTTGCGCTTTCCCAACTGGCTGGATGTGAGCCGTGAGTTCACTCTTTGATGGTTGAATTAGCTTATAAATTTGCTTTGCTACAGATAGAAACCCGTACTACAATTGGGAGTTGTGGGTTTTGTTAAGTATTGTAGTATAAAGAGACCCCAAAATATTAACCTCAAACAATTAAATTGTTGACACAATAACTGAAAATGGCATACACACACACAAAAATACTTATAAACAATGTGGAAAGCAACTTTCAAGTTTAAATTTTGGGGTTGGGTTGCATTAAGAAGTAACCCGATCTCTAATTTTTGTTCAAAGGGGTACTGGATTTCCGTACTACATGTATGTGAAAATCACACCCCATGTTAAGATGTTCACAACCAGTATCCAACAGAGATTGGTTGGGTTACTTGATAAAAGATTGACCTCCTAACATTACTGTGTTACTTCCAGAGAAATGACTCGGGCAGTCATCATTCCGTTCATGAAAACACAAAGACGAAGAAACGAGGAGCAGTTCCTGGCAGAGAGCCGACGCCATGAGTTGGAAGATTCAGCAGTCCACTGCCTGCGTTCATGAAAACACAAAGAAGGAGGAATGAGGATCAGTTCCTGGCATAGAGCAGACACCATGAATTGGAAGATTCAGCAGTCCACTGCCTGCGTTCACGGAAACACAAAGAAGGAGGAATAAAGATCAGTTCCTGGCTGAGAGCCGACACCATGAATTGGAAGATTTAGCAGTCCACTGCTTGCCTCTTCAAATTTCAGTGGGCGCGGAACTACAGAAAGAGAAAAGTCCACATTTTGCAAAAGTGCAGGGTGGTGGTGGCCAGAAGCCTACATGTATCTCATCTGAGTGATGCAGAGACAGGCTCCCCCACCTATGGGATTCCTGTGTTTGTGGTACAGTTGGTAGAAACCTAACAGTCAAGAAACCTAGCCTAAGGCCAAACAAAATTTAATAAATGCTTTACAATCATGCAGTAATCTTGTATGCTTTTATTTCATTTCTCTGTTTAATAGATATGTTTTCTGGTCAGGATACCGAAGAAAAAGGTTGCGAAACTTAATTTCAAAACATTTTTAAGTCAACTTGAAGCAGACGACAAGGCAGTTGAATAATTGGGAAAAAAAATTCAACATTTCTTCAACTTAAATATTCAATTATTATTCTTCTTATTATTAGGCAAAACGACTTCCTGTCATATGGCGTCAAAAATGACTGGGGCAAAAAAAACGGTGTACTGGGATACACAAGAGAGCGCTTTCTGCCAAAAGCAACATCCAAGTCTTCCATCCCTGTCATTCTGGATGATGCTGGACCTAGTGGCATCCGAGGTCTTACGACCAAGTATTTCAATGGCGGGGTTGATGCCACTTGTTCTGTTGCACCAAAGTGCTGCCCTATCATTAGCGCAAAAATGATTTGCGCTTTCCAAACTGGCTGGATGTGAGCGGTGAGGTCGCCCTTTGATGGTTGAATTAGCTTATACATTCAGACATTTGCTTTGTCACAGATAGAAACCTGTACTACAATTAGGAGTTGTGGGTTTTGTTAAGTATCATAGTAAAAAAAATTTAAAAACCCAAAACAATTACATTGTTGACACAATAACTGAAAATGGAAAAAAAAAAAAAAAAAAAAAACACTTATAAAACAATGTGAAAAGCAACTTTCAAGTTTAAATTTTGGGGTTGGGTTGCATTAAGAAGTAACCTGATCCCTAATTTTTGTTCAAAGGGGTACTGGATTTCCGTACTATGTGAAAATCACACCCCATGTTAAGATGTTCACAACCAGTATCCAACAGAGATTGGTTGGGTTACTTGATAAAAGATTGACCTCCTGACATTACTGTTTTACTTCCAGAGAAATGACTCGGGCAGTCATCATTCCGTTCATGAAAACACAAAGACGAAGGAACAAGGTGCAGTTCCCGGCAGAGAGCAGACGCCATGAATTGGAAGATTCAGCAGTCCACTCCCCGCATTTATGAAAACACAAAGACGAAGGAATGAGGAACAGTTCCTGGCAGAGAGCAGATGCCATGAATTGGAAGATTCAGCAGTCCACTGCCTGCATTCATGAACACAAAGACGAAGGAATGAGGAACAGTTCCTGGCAGAGAGCAGATGCCATGAATTGGAAGATTCAGCAGTCCACTGCCTGCATTCATGAAAACACAAAGACGAAGGAATGAGGAACAGTTCCTGGCAGAGAGCCTATGCCATGAGTTAGAAGATCAAGCAGTCCACTGCCTGCCTCTTCTGATTTCAGTGGGCGTGGAACTGAAGAAAGAGAAGAGACACATCTCGCAAATGTGAGTTCCAGAGAGATGACTCGGGCAGTCATCATTCCGTTCATGAAAACACAAAGACGAAGGAACGAGGAGCTGTTCATGGCAGAAAGCAGACGCCATGAATTGGAAGATTCAGCAGTCCACTGCCTGTGTTCATGAAAACACAAAGACGAAGGAATGAGGAGCAGTTCATGGCAGAGAGCAGACGCCATGAATTGGAAGATTCAGCAGTCCACTGCCTGTGTTCATGAAAACACAAAGACGAAGGAATGAGGAGCAGTTCATGGCAGAAAGCAGACGCCATGAATTGGAAGATTCAGCAGTCCACTGCCTGTGTTCATGAAAACACAAAGACGAAGGAATGAGGAACAGTTCCTGGCAGAGAGCAGACGCCATGAATTGGAAGATTCAGCAGTCCACTGCCTGCGTTCATGAAAACACAAAGAAGGAGGAATGAGGATCAGTTCCTGGCATAGAGCAGACGCCATGAATTGGAAGATTCAGCAGTCCACTGCTTGCCTCTTTTGATTTCAGTGGGCGCGGAACTGAAGAAAGAGAAGAGACATATCTCGCAAATGTGAGTTCCAGAGAGATGACTCGGGCAGTCATCATTCCGTTCATGAAAACACAAAGACGAAGGAATGAGGAACAGTTCCTGGCAGAGAGCCTACGCCATGAGTTAGAAGATCAAGCAGTCCACTGCCTGCCGCTTCAAATTTCAGTGGGCGCGGAACTACAGAAAGAGAAAGTCCACATTTTGCAAAAGTGCAGGGTGCTGGTGGCCAGAAGCCTACATGTATCTCATCTGAGTGATGCAGAGACAGGCTCCCCCACCGATGGGATTCCCGTATTTGTGGTACAGTTGGTAGAAACCTAACAGTCAAGAAACCTAGCCTAAGGCCAAACAAAATTTAATAAATGCTTTACAATCATGCAGTAATCTTGTTTGCTTTTATTTCATTTCTCTGTTTAATAGATATGTTTTCTGGTCAGGATGCCGAAGAAAAAGGTTGCGAAACTTAATTTCAAAACATTTTTACGTCAACTTGAAGCAGACGACAAGGCAGTTGAACAATTGGGGAAAAAAAATCAACATTTCTTCAACTTTGTTTCGTTGGACGAGTACAGATGAACAGTTTGGAGTAGTGGTTTCGCCATTTGGTTTTCTTGAAGTTTGCCGAGTACAACGAGCCACTGAAAGCAGTGGCGTCTCTTCTTTTTTTGACGCTAATATATTCAGTGAAAGTCTTGGAGCAGATTCACAGCTGTGTCAATTTTTGTTAGCGGTGCGCACTTTGTCTTCAACTTCAACTTCCTCTTCCACATCAACCGAATCGCCGTTTTCCTCATCCTTACAACCGTCACTCCAAAGTTCATGCTCTTTAATCGCATCTAGTTTTCCTCCTGTAGATTCTTTTGATTTTTGTTTGGTTCCTCCATATTCTACATGCATTTCTTGTGAGGGTAACTTGGGACACAATCACGTCGATGCTATTAAGGTAAAGATAGTTAAATGGCTGCAGGAATGGCCGAAAATCTACGTTGCGATGCCACCACTGCAGCTTAATTTATAGATACGATTGCTATGGGAATGCAACCCTTGGTTTCAACCTGTACAAGGAACAAAGACAATTTGTGAAAGCGTCCAATACTCTCTACGTTGATAGGCAACTGTTGGAGCTACAGTGTAGCCTGGTGTGAGTCTATGACATGAATGTTATTGTTAAATCGCTTTTTACCACTGTTTATCATGTATTTGGGCGATCGCGTAGTGTAGGGCCCCTGTTCTGTTTTGATCAAATTAAAGTCTCCAATATGGGAAATGAAATCATAAGGACCTCGTAACTCAAGAAAAACAAACTTGAGTGAGAAGAACCGCAGATGCAATGAACAGGAAGAATGTCACACGTACGAAAGAGAGATTTAGTTGTACACATTTCACAATCCTACACAAAGAAGTCCTTGTACAGCCGCTTTGTGAGAGAGGTGTTGGAAAAGCTGACATAATTTCTCAGGAATACTTTACTAATATTTACATGGGCTGAACATCTACCAAATTCATGAATTTCATTGGGAATGGCTATCAACCTGTTTTAATCATCCAGGAAGGAACGGAGAGAATATCACACAGCAAGAGAACGGGCAAGGTACCATCCTGCCGACCAAACCACAATTATCACTTATGCTATGGACCAGTCCAAAACCAATGTGCCCCATCTAATCAGATGTGACAAGGCATCCGAACACTTGAGCAAACTCCCTGTACGTATAAATTTACTTTTATTCATTTGAGCTGCCAAAATGATTCAAGGTGTTACCATCAATGCTTGGAACGTCTGGGTGTGGTTAAATTACATTCCGTTCTTTATATTGCACCACTGAACTTTCTCTTTACATGAGCATTGATGCGTGCACTGATAAAAAAAAGCGTCACGAAAGCCAAGCATTTCATTTAGGCTTACACTTCAACGTTGAGTATCTTTCCAGGGCCAGAATACATGTATTACCTGTATTCATGTGAAGTTGAAAAAATTTCAGAAGATGTCTATCCAAGATGAGCTGCCGCAAGTGGGAAATGTGGACATTTTATTTCAGAATTTTCAGTAGTATTTCAATCAAAAGTTTGATTATATACTACAAATTAGAACAAAGATGAATCCTCGCAAAAAGAACTGAAAAATAAACTTGATCCTCAAGAGCTGTCCAAGCCCGGCAATATCGCACAGTTCGTTTTCTGTGGAAAAATTGAGATCGTATTCGATAAAGCTTGCACTTATCTAGAAATGTGACGTACAAAAGGCAATCGATGCGATCCAGCAAGGAGAAGAGCTAGAAGCAGAACATCTGGCTGGATGACGATCCAGCAATTGGAAAAAGGAGGCAAAAAAAACCACCAGACCGCTGACGAACAGTAGACAGTGCTGTTTTCTTTTAGGGGTGATGACTTTCGGCATTCAGATGCTTGTGTGGGTAATCTCAGGAGCATGGCAGCTCCAAACCACAGTGAAACTCTCCCAGGAAGAAAAGGCGAACATTTTCAATACCCTTAAATCTGAGGCCAGGGAAGCCACAACAATTGCTGATGGGTCAGCTACATGTAACTTGAAAATCGGGGCAACACATGTGTGTAAAATTTAAACAAATAATGACAATTAGGCCTGCCTCCCCATCTCCAGGCATTAAGAGGAAAGGGAAGATGTCCCATCAGGATTCCTCTTCCCTCATGCATCACAACTTGAACGTTTACTAAATTTACAAGACATCACTCAAGGTGGTAGAAGAGATTAGAGCGACAATAACGAGGGTTTTTTCCTTTTATATTGCCAACCTGTGAATCTTACATTATTGACTGTTCATCTTGCTTCAATTTGGTTAAATTTTTTTTAACGTGGCAGCAATGCGCTTCCTAAGATTTTTTTAATCATACCTTTGTAAATTATTTTTTTAAAACATAATGGACGGAATCCTAGATACAACTTTAAACCTAAAAATAAACTCTGCAAAAACAATATATCTTACATCTCTATATTAAAGCAATTCATCTCTTTTCTAAAAACAAAAATTGGTTCAAAACACATACTCAGGAAAATTGATTTTTTTTTTGTGGTCCCATAATTCAATTCCCCAGTTGCAAGTAGCAGCCGTCTTTCAATAAAATACAGATCATACGCTTCAAAATGATATGAAGACTTTAATTCCATAACGTGATAAATGCCATTTTGTTCCCTTTTAGAATGCCGCTCTCTCCTGGCTGACCCGAGTCAATTTTGACGGCTGTTATATGATTAAACACAATTTAAGAATACAAGTAAAGTAGAAATCTGAAGTATGGAAACAGCCGTTGTACTGTTCTTATTCTTTAAATTTTCAAAACCGTGCACATTTTTCACTTTTTTCAAATGGATATATCGCATTTTGAAAATAAACTAATGACCTGCTTTCATATTAATATTTCAGTTATTGATCTTAACGTAGCTCAGCGTCAATCACTGCAAAGAGCTTTCACGTAACGCTGTCCGCTCGGTGACTCGCTTTGACTACTCACTCCACTTACTTGGGTTACTCACTCATTTGTGAGAGCTGTCGCTCCTGTTGACCGCCGGCCGAAGCGGTCGTGGCGAGCGACGACCTGCGTTGAACTGGGCCAGGTGTGACTCCAAATTGGGCACGCTTCCTGTGAAGATGAAGATAGATTCAATCTCACGTTAAGAGTTGTTTACGTAGACAATTGGTACAGTGTGTTGACTATTTGTTGTCAATTAGTCTGAATCATTCAACTTGTGGTGCATTCCTCTCACGCTTACGTTGGCTAGGCCAGTGCAAATGTGCCAACCCCAACTGAAACAAAAACGCCATCACAACTGTTCGTCGTGTCCGTGCAACAAGGTCGTATCTCCTAAAATGGCGTGTGACGTCATCTACGTGAAGTGCGAATGTTTTCAATGTCAAAAGGTCGTATCTCGCTTAAAATAACCCGGATGTACACACAAAGTCAATGGACGTTGCAATTTGCGAGATACGACCTTGTTGCACGGAGCGTATTCGCGCCAGATACGACTTTGTTGCAGAATCGAGTTACGACCTTGCTGCAATGACGCCACGTGTTGTCAAAATAGCGGCGCCCAGCCCTACATGTGTCAGTGTTTGGATAGCAGTTTTTGAAATGCTTGAAAATTACTTGTGCCTAAAAGTGAAATTTTTAATACCAAACGATAAAATAAACTTGTTACAGGTTTTTGACGGACGTAGAAAATGGCAAATGTACTTCAGCTCCGACGGCTCACTGTGTGTGAGTCGACCATCTTGGAAACTCTTTAAAAATTGTGCTTGCAAAGTGTTGTGCATCTTTGTAGGGTAACTTCTACTTGTGACATGAGTGGCATTAAAACGTGTATCAGTACATACTGACAATAGTGTACATGCAAGTGCGTGAAGTTCCTAGTTGTCAAAAATATACACGTTGGGAGTCAGGTTGGCGCAGTGGTTACTTTTCTCGCCTTCCACCACTGTGACCCGGGTTCGATTCCTGCCCTGGTCCAAATGTGGATTGGGTTTTCAGTTACTACTTGATTCCGTGGGTTTTCCCTTGAATATTCTTCTGGGGTTTTCCCCCACCTCTAAAACTGTAATTTCTTCTCATTGTCTTCTTCTTACAAGTTTCTTCAGGCTTTCGAGCTACAGTGCGTGGGGCACTTTTGAGGAATCATTTGCTTCATTACCAGAAAGATTTAATTTAAATAAAATAAAACCATACATTTAAATTGGTTCCATGCATGCAGGGATAATGTATTAAGCAACAACAATCATTTGTTAACCCTCCTGCTATTTAAGCAGTCACAGACAGTCAAAATTTCCTTCCACTTTCCCTGCTATACTTTTAACAAAGGCTAGTCACCAGCAGTCAGATCATATGTCAAGCAAGCACCGTGACTAGTCAAACTGGGTCAACAGACAAAGCAGGCAAGTTGTGATCACAGCTGATTTATCACTCACCCAGAGTCAAAGCATAGCTGTATCAAGTTACTTAACCAGTCCAAGGCAGTCAATCCTGCTTTATGTGGGCTGGGAATTCTTAAGGGTTGAAAACAGTCACTTGATTGATTTTGACTGCAAGGACAACTTGGCACAGAAGGTATGTGTGCATATGGGAAGCTTAATCATAAATTTCCATTCATACATCTACAAAACTTTAATGGGTGCGCACAGCATATACCAGTGCAATGGCAGCATAGCGATCCAAGTCAGAGAAATAACAAATGCAAAACAACGACATAACAAATATCGAAAACCCAATTTGTATTAGTACAGTTTGCCGATAACAAGTAAATATTAGTGGGGCCAAAATAAAAAGTGAAAAAGTCAACACGTGTAAGTAATACTAAAATAAAACTGCGGTGAGTGCTTTGTGAATTATTATGTGTCAGAAAGCAGCTGTTTAGAGTGCAGTGCTGTGGGGTTATTTATCCAGGATTTGTTCACCTCTGTGGCGCATATGGGCTTCCTTAAGATGATGGGGCACAGGTAATAAGGATCCCGACGAGGCTGTCGATAGAAGACTTAGTGGGTTAGTGAAGAATTGATACACCGAAATTCAATCCACACATCTATGGGCTCGGTGCACCGACAACAGAGGGCGCTTTCCGACCACCTTTGAGAGCCACCCGAACGGGACATAACAAGTGCACATACCAGTTTGCGCGTTTATAGCACAAAGTATGCCTGACTAATTCTATTGAGTGTGCACAAAGCCTCTTCACGCGAGCGTCGGGCGTCGTCAGCAATGCGTTTGAATGTCTCTCCCAGTGGTCTCCCCCAACTCTCCCTTTCTTGCCGTTGAGGGGGTACTTGTGCACAGAGCCCAAAAGGACAGGGTTCTGGATCCTCGAAACTTCCAAGGGCTTTCCTACAAATCCTTCTCTCATTAACCCTAACCCTCCTCAATCCTCCAAAATCAACCCGGTGGTAATGGAGGATTTTGGAGGATTGAGGCTGTATGCCTTTGACGTGCCCGTTGATTTTGAAGGATGCGATTTAACATGAAATTGTAAGGTAAAATCCTGACGACTGAGGTTATCATAGATTGACAAGTTTAGTCATGTTTTTTTCTAAAAAGGATTCCCCCCCCCCCTCTTAGTTCTACTTACTGACTGCCAGGCTTGACCTGTGACCTCTGTTCCGTGCTATCGCTATCGGTGAAAGCTCACCCGACTGACCTACCAAAATGAGATAATTTACAGATATTTTACTCGTCTTTCTAAGGATTTTGACCTACCAAAGGTAAAAAATAAGAGACACAACCACTCAACATTATTGGGCAAGTTCGTGCAACAACCACTAGTCAACCAATGGTTGGCAGGTGTCAAACAGTGCGCATGCGCTGTAACATTAAAGTGCGAACGACTCTAGTCGAACCATTGTCAACTTATATGGCGGTCACGAGTATGTTTGGATTGTTGACGTTTTTGACCTGTTGAATGAACCGGAAGTTATCTCCGAGGCCCACCAGTGGGTAGTACAACTCGCTACGTTTATTTCGAAATCTGCGCTTAAGTATTGAAACGAGGCTGTTGATAACCAGCAATGCGACCAGGCGCAGTAGGCTGGTTCCAAATAGTCCACTAGCGTAGCCAACAATCGTCGACTAGACAGAGTTCAGGCTAATTTATTCGAACTATGGTCAACAATATTTCTTGCCTGAACTTGCCCATAGCTGTCCTGACATAATTGACTTACTGGAATGAGCTGTACTACCGCTGGATTGGCCACCACTACCGGTGGCCGTCCGCTTCTTGGTCTGTCCCCGTTGGACTTGCCTCGCCCGGGTGCCAAACCCCAGGCACTGCAGGGTCTCCGTGACGAAGGCTTGAGTTGGCGACACGCAGCAGAGTACCAACAACTTGGCATCGCCGCCTGAGCACAAATAGCAGAGGAGCGAGACATGGTCAGAAAACAGTGATCTACAAAAACAACTTTCTGTCTGTTCCCCCCCCCCCCCCACCTTAAAATTGTTGTGACGATGCCTGTGCAATCAGAGATGGGATATCCAAACTGTATGGGGAAGGAAAAATCGCACCCAGAGACCCACCTATAGAGTCTTGCAGCAGGTGGGTTAAACGGCTGTTCCTGTAAGGCACGTGAGACCTGCCTTCCGCCAGGGCAGCTAGGACATCCGAGAGAGCGGACAGGCTACGGTTGATGTGGGAAGTCTCACGTAACGCTGCCCCGGTTACTCCAGACATACCTAGAGAAATGATACCAGATCAGTGTGAGTTCCTTGAAAGATCTGATGAAGGTATATTGAAGGCAATGCTTTAGAATGCAATTTGGAAGTGGAAGGGCGGTTAAATACGTTTGAGCGTAGCAAAGTTTTTCATGTTTGAGGACCAAGTTTTACAGAAATGTGTGCAATTTGTGGAAATTTCCAATATAAAAGAACGTGATTCAACCAAGAATTTGAAGAAATAATTGGCCAAAGGTTCAGGTGCCAAAATATAATAAAAATAGTTATAAGAATTGATGGAAATGTAAGGAAATGCAGATTTTTTTGGGGGGGGGGGAAATAAGCTTTATCAGAAAAAAATCTCAGGAAAAGTTGTTCGTCAAAGGGAGTTTGGCATATTTTTTTTTTTGCGGGTGGGGGAAGGGGGGGGGGTAGGAAGACATGTGGGTGCCCCTATCCACCTTTGAATCATGTTTAATGAGGGCATTTAATAAGAGTAACACATACTGCAAAAGTAAGCAGCAGTAATGTGCAAGCAACACACACTGCATGCGAGTATTTGCCGTCACAGGAAAACATAACTGAACTGATCTGGAAAGGAAGCCTTTTCAAGACCATCGCCAATGTTCTGATGCTTACCAACGCATTCGCTGCCAGCTAAGTCCACCAGCTGGAGTTTGGTCTTGACCACCCCAGGCAGGCTAGGAGGAAAGAAGACCGGGGTACTGCTACCTGATTGGATCTGGAGCGGGGAGTTAGTGCCGCTAAGGCTCAGGGATTGGAAAGCTATGGCCGGGATGGACAGGTTACGACGCAAATTCCGCGCTGGAAAACTCCCTGTTATCAATTGAAAATAAAATATGGAGTAAGCTCCCAATAATCAGTGCAAGAAAATAACAATTATGAAAATTAATGAGGATTCTTCACAAAAATGATGTTTTTGTCATACGACTAAATCTAATGCGGAGCATTGCTTCAAATTGTTTCCCTGAAAACATTTTCCTGTAGACGCGATCATATAGACGAGGATATGGGACCGGCTAAAAACTGTACCAGCGTATATCCAATGTTAACGAACCTGGAGAAGGTAGTTCGGGCACCGGTGAGGCACTCCTAGAGGCATTAGGTGTGGTGGTCGGTACCCCCTGGGGAAAGGTAGACACGGTGAGTGTGACGATGAGGTGGGACCGGCTAGAGTGAGCGTGTACCAGTGTAGCGTCCTCGTGACGATGCTTCATTCCGTACTGCACCAGTTCTACGATCTCGGACGCGTTCTCCACTTGTCTAGAAAATAAACCTACATGAATTATGAAGTTGAACAAAGAAATTGACTGGCGCGGAGTTTGAACCTGCGACCTCCGGATTGCTGTTCTGGTACTCTACCAACTGAGCTATCCAGCCCTATGTTGGCAGTTCCCTAAATTTGTCAATGTCTTTGTTCAAGGGGAACTCGGTTGAAAGCCATGAACTCATGTATGCCATGTAGCCAGGGATCACGCACAAAGTCACGAAGCTAGCAATATTAGCAATGCTGCAAACCTGGGAAATAGCAAACGGGGATCAATCAAAGAGGATACGGCTTTTTTATTATAAACTGTCAAATTCCGCCTGTGGTTTAATTTGTAAAAAAAATTCTACTAGCAATATTTAGGTTTTGCTAGTGCTCAATTCAGCATCTCAACCAAATTTCAACCAAATAAGGACTTTTTAAAAAAAATATTCAGGAGAGACCTTATAGCTTGAGAAAGTGAAGACTTGATTTAACCTTTGGGTGAGTGACGGTATTTCCATGGAGCCATCGTCGCAGGTTCGTATGTTGAGTTTGACCACAGCTGCATCAGGCTCTAAGAGATCTCGGATATCATTGTTGTAGATTTCCACGACGGACACCTCGATGCTGTGACTGTTGGCTGGTTTTTCCGCTATCAACCTAAAAGTGACATTTAGAATGTTTGAAAATTACTTACGAATAGCGGCTTGTAGAGAATTCAAAGTGTAACCGGGGACAACAGGCTCTTCAAGTTGAGATGGAATAAATTCTGTTTTTATTTCCCATCAGTGGCAGCATGGCAGCAAAGCCCAGCCAGCGCTGAGAAAACTTTCTTAAAATCACAAGACTTTACAACATGTGTGTTCTTGTTGGTGGCTAATGCAAGACTGAACAAAGCTTATCTTCACCACAGGATGTTGGCCAGTGCCTCACATTCCTGGGCAGACCACATAGGGATTATGAATAAACAGAAGGGGGTGATAAAACAAAGTAACTACTGTAGAAAAGCTAGAGTCTATCTAATGAATAATAATGAGGTACATGAATTCAGACCTCCTGCCTGGAGTTGACTATTTTTCCATGAAACATGGAATGTGTGGCTGACCCACCCAGGGCCAAAGGACAGATTTTTCTCACAGAAAGATTAAGATCAATCAATGATAGGCAGAGACAGTGCTTGCTACAATCCTTGCTCTGTGCTACAATATACACACAATAGGCATAGGTCTATGGCCACATGGCCACCTTACAATGGAATATGAATAAGTAGTAAAAAGATCGAAGTTTCAGGACATAGATTGGCTCAACCAAATTGGTCTTCTACTTAAGTCTATTAATCTTGAAATTCATCATTTTCCAAATGCAATTGACATCCGGCCTGTATCCATACGATCATTACATTTTATTTTCAAGAGATATTCAAAGGCCAAAATGAAAAAAACAAACTTGATTTACATTGGTGTTCCAGCCAAATTAGTTTTAAAAAAGAGCTCAAGTACTGTTGTAGTTATTTCACCGTTCACACATGTCCATCACAAGTCAATCACAAAGTCCATCACATGTCCATCACATGTGCATCACGTCCATCACATGTGCATCACATGTCCATCCCAAGTCCATCCCAAGTCAATCACAAGTCCATCACATGTTCATCACATGTCCATCACATGTCCATCACATGTCCATCCCAAGTCAATTACAAGTCCATCACATGTCCATCACATGTCCATCACATGTCCATCCCAAGTCAATTACAAGTCCATCACATGTCCATCACATGTCCATCACATGTCCATCACAAGTCAATTACAAGTCCATCACATGTCCATCACATGTCCATCACATGTCCATCCCAAGTCAATCACAAGTCCATCACATGTCCATCACATGTCCATCACATGTCCATCCCAAGTCAATCACAAGTCCATCACATGTCCATCACATGTCCATCACATGTCCATCCCAAGTCCATCACAAGTCAGCCAGTCTCAAGTCAAGTCACAAGCTATTCATATTATTGGTTACACTTTCTAATTGGCCAATGAAAGAAGTGCATGTGGTTCATGAATATGTATGAGGTGTAATAGCTCCGCCTACTTGAACATTTCCACGGCAGCCCTTGGAACCACGCCATCCGATGCACGTATCTCTAATTCTTCATCTATCTGTAAGTCGGAGTAGTTGTCACCCAGCATGGTGTACGTCTTACCACTGCCTGTCTGCCCGTACGCCATGATGCAAACATTATAGCTAGGCAAATAAATAAATCAATGAAAGTCCAACATTTACTGTACGTTTCATTTTGTGACCTTGTACATTTTCTGGTTTTAAAGGATGAGGGTTTATCTATGTGTCAATTTAAACAAAATTTCTTGGTGTTGTCGAGTATTTTCTTTTCTATTCAACTGGAGCCATAAAGAGCAAACACGGCAATGGGTATTCTTCAGGGATGACAATTGTTTAAAATTGTAATGAAACAATAGAAATCTCCAAGCACTCAGAAGCATTAGCAAATCTACAATATGCCTAAACGGTACCGGTAATAAACAACATTTGCTTATCCTGTACTTTTCAGAAATGGACAATTTGGGGGTTAGCATTTTATAGCAAATATTGGTACACTGACCTGTTTAAAAGTTTTGTGTTTATAGACGCTGGAAAACAAAAAATAAAATGCTGTTCTTGTAGTCTGGTTCCCTGACCCTACTTCAGCTATACATGTTGGGGAGTTGTCAGGTCAGGGAACGTTCACAGATGTGTGACCCATTGCAAGCAAAATGTGGACCAACTAAATTTGGTATTAATTTGGAGGCACTATTTGAAAAGAAGGTCTGGGTTTTTTCCACTGATGGTCGGCTGACCATCGTTGGAAATTTATACAAAAATTCCAAAAATGACAGCACACCAGGTGCCATGATTTCACAGGATGCTTGAGATTATTATTTACTTACAGTCAAGTAAGGTATTTCAAAACAATTTGGTAGGTTTGTTTGTTTATGTTTGCAAATGTTGTATATTACCTTTTAACCCTTTCATTACCACATTGTTTATTGACTTGGCTCTCCCCAGGACCAAATTGTTTGCTCAGTCATGCGGAAATCACTAGAGCGTGAACAAAATGACCACAAGTCCAAAACTCACTTTTTTCAACCCAGATTTTCACTGCCAAGGAGCGATTTAAATCATAAGTGTTGTGTGTAACGTTTGTTCCTTGAGCCTTACTCTTTTATGTGATGTAAAAATGAAGTCCATGTGTGTAAATATAAGAAAGTTATGCCTGTTTGTTCATCTGGTTCCATTTATCAAACTGCAAGCCATTTTACCACATGACCAAATGGCACTCCATACATCAATTTGTGAGTGGATACTTCTAAAGCCCTTTTCTCATTTTTTTGTAATGGCAACACTATGAATAAACTACACCATTAGAACGATCCGAAAACACTCTTTAAGCTGGTATATGGTTGATGTATGGGCGGCCAACCATATCAACACGCCGCTTTTCTGAAAAGTAGTGAATATATCTGTGTTGAGGGTGTTTTGTGTGTGGTTTCCTGGTCGACTAAAGTCGCCCATGGGAACCAGCACGGGGGTTCTTCTTGTCGACAAAAGTCGCCCATGATAAGGAAAGGGTTAAGTTGGCGCAATTTAACTAACAGCCTTTGTAAAACTAACCCCAAAGAAACCAATGATTGCAATATTTTGGACTATGACATAATTACTCTTACATTTTAGAAATGGACAAGGTTTAAGCCAGCATCCACGGTAGAAATCTGTATCAGTGTCAAACTTAGAACTTGAAAGAAAGGATTTTTCTCATCTTACCCATCAAGGAGTGATGTCAACAACGGCTGAACTTCTTCAAAGACGTCAAACTGATTATCAAGAGGCCCATAAACACTGCATATCAAAAATCCATAAATAAACATTTTTTTCTCAATACATGAGACTGTTAAAATTCACTGGCCTAAATTCAAATCTGCAAGTAATGCCAGTGTTTTGTTACTTGAGTCTGAGTATAATCTGCATTTATCTGTTCATACTTCACACAGATTTTCCAGAGTTGATAATTTTATATGTGTTAAAATTTGTGCAAAAATTTACAGCTCGTATGTGTGTACTCGCTGTATTGTCAAAAATTAAAGTTTCTGAATTTGAACTAGCCTTAACCCTAATCTTCCCAAATCCTCCCAAATCCTCTTTGCAAAATGGAGGATTTTGCAGGATTGAGGCTATTTGACGAAAATGTGTGGCTGATTTTGGAGGATGCACTGTGTCAAGGCCTTGGGCCGGACCTTGTTTTGTTAATGCTCAGCCTAGCTAGGCACGAGATTATACTTGAAATCCTCCGCACTGCTTTAGGATGTTGCTGGCTCTGCCTCAACATATTGACAGTGATTGCTGGGGGATTTTGCAGGATTGAGGCGGTGGTCACCCCCCCAAGGACCACATTCAAGAAAAACGGAGGACTTTGCAGGATTGAGGCTGATTGCAATTATACATGACGACGGTTCAAGGATTTTGCAGGATTGAGGTTGCATCCTGGCAAAAATGCCCAGGAAATTAGGATTAACTTATTTATTGTTGAAGTGGCTAGAGCTGATTTGGAAAGGTTGGTCAGTTTTATTTTACACAATCACAAGAAGGAATAAAAAAAAATTACTTACTGCTCAAATTCAAACATTTTATTGGATGCCCCAATCCCTGGTTTGTTGTACTTGACAGCAAGATTCTCCTGGCAAAAACAAAAAGTGACAAAAACTCTCCCAGTGATAAGGTCAACCGGTGGTTTCCATATTTTTCTGAGAACATAGGCTTTCATTAACACCATTAAAATTGTTTTGATTCTCGTCAATTACCACAACAAAATACCCGCGACCGGCAGTTTGAAACCACCCACGTGACAGGCTCTCAACCAATTGGAATGAGTAAACTGTCCCAGATAATACTTATGAAGTTTTTATAAATACTTACATCGTCAATGATATGGACGACTTGATCAGTCATTATACCCGGTCCAGCGTCTCTCGACATGATGGGACGTGCCCTGCAGTGCACTCGAATGTTGCCACGGAGTTCCTTGTCAACAAAAATAAAAAACAATAGAACATTCTTTAACACATGAAAGAAACAACAACGGATAAACTGATGGCTAGTTAGATTCATCATTGACATTTTTTCAGTGTTCAAAATAAAAATGTAAATAAACGTGCATCCTTAAAATCTGCTGCCACAGTGTAAAACTGCTTTTACATGAGCAAATCCAGAATTGGGAACTTCGGCAGTGCTACCCGGAAAATTCCGGGCATCCCTCCCTCTTGCATTAACTTGAAAACAGCGCGCCTGAGGTATGCTGGGAATTTTGTGGGTAGCAGTGCCGACGTTCCCAAGACTGGTCTTGATTACCTTATTGAAAGATAAGCAGCGGCGGATTGACCGTGCTTGTCAAATAAGAAAATCCAGTCTTGAAACAAGACTAGTGTATGGTAAAAATTCAGTCTTAGCCTTATACATTCTCATCATTCTTTGAGAAATGATACAATTGATGGACTCACCACCAGCGTGTTATGTATTTCCTTTCTCCTCTTCTTCTCCTTAGTGAAACGCTGATCAGCAGTCTTGACCTCTTCCTCAAGCTCATACACTCGATCTCGCAAATCTGAAATGATTTGTGATAAAATCATTTTTCATTTTTTCCGTTGACTCTTGTAGTCTAGGCAAAATACTTTATTTTGTAAGTGAACGTAACACAAATCACAAAATTTTTTTTTTCACCAAAGTGCATTTCTATAAGGTCCCTGGAATGACATAATAAAAGACTTAAATAATCAAAGCCGTGGAAATATGCCTTATTTGCATAAATCGTTAATACCTGTCGTGTAATATATTTGTTCCCATATTTGGGTAGTTTTATTTTTTATTTTTATTTTCAAGTTTATTTTGGTGATTCTACTTACACATCCTTACTTCAATAATATTTTCTAAAGCACAGAAAGTGACTGCATAATTATGAGGATATAGTAACGATCCCAAATGACTACTATTATACCCTAAAGCTGCACGCATTTTTCTTGTCTCCAGATATCATTAAGTAGTCTTGTCAAACCTCAGTATTGATGAGCTTCAAATTCACCAAGTTGCATTAAAAAAAAACGAGGTGTCCGTAAATTGGGCTAAAAGAAGGTGAAGGGTTGCCTAACGTGGGAGACTTGAACAAGTTCAAGGACAAATTGTAAGACTTTTAGTTTGTCATTCTGTTTTTTGTTTACCCTGCATGTCCAGATTGTCTGTCAAGAGCGACTGAGTGAGTCTAGCTGCTTTCTCCTGAAGTAGGTCGAGGTCAAAGGTCACCTGGCTGGGCACGGACTCCACGAGGTCACGCAGCTGCTGCAGGTCATGCTTGCATTCCTGGCAGGAAAAAAAATTGAATAGGGGGTGAGTGGGGGGGCGTGAGGGAGGGGGGGGGGTTGAGTGGGGTGGTTAGTGGGGATGAGTTGGGTGGTGAGTAGGGGGATGAGTAGGGGGTGGGGGAGGGGGTTGAATGGGGGGGGGGGGAGCAGGGAAGTGGATGGTTGTCATACATACCTTTACTTTGTGATGCATATCAATGCAGGCGTGTCCAATACGTAGCTGGGAATCGTCTTCAGCCTCCATGACCCGTTTCATGTGACCCATTGCTTCCCGGGTGCTCCCCAACTCTCCTTGTAACTGCAAGACAGATAAACAACTGATGTGACTCAAATTAGGTTTTGCCCTTCACTGACGTATAAACACTGTATACTCAGTGTGTTACCTCCCGAGCGAAAGTTGGAAAAAAATCACTCGGGTGGGACTCAAACCCACGACCTCCTGCTTTCTAGTGCTGATGTCTTACCACTCGACTACCGAACTTGCAGGATCAGATGGCTGGTTCGAATCTGATGTACATAGCAGCGGTACCGCATTAACTATTAACAATTCAAGTCCATATTGCAACATTTGTTTGGGAAACAATAAACAGGGCTTGGTTTCTAACTGAAGGCTCCGTTAGCTCACCTGGGCAAGTCTCAGATACAGCATGGCATTCTCTGTCTCCAAGGCAACAATCCTTTCATCTTTTTGCTGCATATTTAATCAAGACAGATATGGTAAATGTGGCGTCATGTTGCATCATTCTTTCAAGATTAACTCTAGGATTTTATAACTTTTTGTACTTTTTTAAGAAATTCACTTTCGCACCTGTTTTTAGCAGTTTAAAAACATATACGTCTGTACAGATTTGTTCTGCTCTAAACTATACTTTTAACCATGTTTTAAATCAATATATAAATAGTATATAAATACGCTTCGTACAAGATGCACATTGACACTGACAATTAAAATGAACTGTTAAAATGCCATTTTGCAATATAATGCATCATCTTGCTCACAAGGCAAAAAGAACACGCGTTGCTAGACGTGAATGCATGACGATTTGCAAGCTTTAAAGTGTTCGTTTGACGATGCGTACACAGCAACGCATGTGAACTTGCCCCATTAGCAAGATGGCGCATATAACTGTGAAAATGCTGATTAAGAAACAATTGTCAATACAAAAAACAGCTACAAAACTAACCCTCAACTTGCGATCGCATTCCTTGATCTTGTCAGGAATGAAATGCGACAGATCCATAGGAGTTGGTTTATGAGGCATGATGGCTCACTACCGATGACTGAGAAAGAAAAACAAACAAAACTTAACCACCTTACAAACAATTTGCAAGAACGATGTCTTGACTATACCATACCAGGCAGAAAAGCCGGAAAGAATCCAGACGCTAGTTCAGTGGTTGTACAAAGTCTATGGAGAGTCAAGACATTTTCTAAGTAGGCCGATTTCCTCACAAAATTGGAACCGTTTCTCAGTCCCAGATTCGGGTCTTTTCAACTTTTTGGGGAAAGAATGTAGTATTTCAACGCCACTTCTGTGGTTGTGTACAAAGTCTATGGAGATTCGAGTGCATTTTCAAAGTATTTTCTAACACTACAGATTTTGTTTCTCGGCCCCAGATTTGTGTCTTTTCATTCAACATTTTTTTAATGACTGACCTTCAACATGTTCAATGAGATACAAATGAAATATATCAGATGATGGAAAAAATTAAAGTGGCGTCAGGATGCAACATTCTTTTTGAAGCAACTTACATTACAAACAAAAACAGTAGGCCCAGCACAGCAGTATGATCCTAGTACAAGTATTATTATCACTATCCTGCATAATGTGCGGATATTAATAAATCTTCCTCTCCTTGCAACATGTGCAATTTGCATTGTTTGTGGTAGGTCCCCGGCCCAGGCTATAAAGTGTACACAATATCAGTACACACAGCCACCCACTAGACAGCCAGTCCTCCACATGTTACCCGAGCTACCATGCCTTTCAAGTTGTACAGCAAACATGACCTACAAAACACACCGCGTCACCACGCGTCCCCGTGTGCAAATAGGGTATTCGTGCAAATACACAACCATTTTGTCAACACTGACATGATGTGTAATGCATAGCCGTCTATGATCCCAACTAAACTTTTTTAACAGTAATTTCCATTTTCCAGATTCCGTTTCTGGACGACTGAATCACTCCTCACCTTACTGTATATACATATCGACCCTTCAAGCCTAAGCCGTCATTATTACAACGCAGATCCAACCGATTAAATTCGACTTTTTCGGGGTTGTTTCGCCTCACGCCTTCGAACTTCCAACGCCACTCAAAACTGATCTCGCGCGCTGAACGGATTTCCGTCAATGGAGGGCGCCCTTCATTATTTACGGCTCATTGTTTTGCAATAATATTTTGCGAAACCGGATGGGCCATGGGATGCATGCGGACAGTACAGGTGACTGAGACGGCGTGATTTTCTTTCTCCACACGGGAAATTCGGCGTAATTTACGTTGGTTGAATACGTTGTGTTTCTTATTTTCTATCATCAAACTGTTGAGGTTTTTCAACGACCGCCCCACGTACGTACTCAATGCTTTGCGCCGTTACTTTCAATTCATGACTTTACTAACTTAGCCTACATGTTTGGACTAATTAAACGCGTCAACGGGCAGGAAGGGTTAATTACTTTCCAACCCTACCTACTTGGTTTTAACCTGTCACCTGTTTTATATTTTGACTCACTTGATAAGTTCAGTTTCACCAAATTGATCACGCTGATTTTATGTTGAGTTACTTTGTTGGGTAAGTGCTTTAAGTTAACCTGTCTGTAACATCCCCTGACATGCCTGAACATGTTTAATTTTAAGGCCAAGTATACAGAAAAACACCAGTTGATCGTCCGGGGTTTTTTTATCAAAAAGAGGAGGATGAGGTTCTTTTTATTTATTTTTTATTGAAAAATTGGCTAAAATAGCCATCTAGTTTAATACACGATATGTGCTTTATTTTTGCTGGTCCCACGGGGTAATCCTATACAATAGCACTACCCGATTAACAGACTGACTCACTTGTTGACTGTTGCTTGGGAGTCGGGCAGTGCTATTGTATAGGATTACCCCGTGGGACCAGCAAAAATAATTAAATACACACACAAATTTAAACTTTCTATTGCCAAGTCATTGTTAGAAGTACAAAGTGCAAAATTCGTACTATTTTTTTTTCAATAGATCTTGATGTCGTGCCTCTGATGATGCCCAATATCAGTCATGTCTTTGCCAACCAATGATGTGAATGGCTGCACTTTCGTGGAGATTTCCTTTGACGACCTAACGTTCCATGAGTGCATCGGTGATGGTACGTTCGGTAGCGTCTACCGAGCAAAGTGGATTTCACAGGATAAAGAGGTGGCCGTGAAGAAAGTTCTGACTTTGGGAAAGGAGGTTTGTACATTTGATTTCCCCCCCCCCATTGCCCCTCCCCTCCCCCGTGTGGATAATTAGTCAGAAGTCGAGACTCTCAATACTGTGTATGAGAGTTCCAAAACTTAGTGTATTGAAAACATGCAATGCAAGAAAATAGACTGGCACCTGAAACAACCAGTCCAACACAGCTTCAGTACTGCATCAATCAACTGTGCCAAAGCAAACATCTAGTACCCAGTCTCTATTTCTACACATCTCTCCATATAGTCGGCCACCAGACTATTGATGAGGTCAATCTTTTCAAACAGTTGGACATGTTCCAGTCTAGTCTTAGGCTCCAAATGGAAATCTTTTTTTTTTTTTAAATTGAAATGTTCTCCAGCACTTGATGAGGTCCCAGTCTGGTGGAAAAATTTCATCTTGCCAATTTTTTCTCTATAAATTACATAAAAAGTAGACTAGAGAAAATCTAGACTTAACTATTGTTTTAATTTTCTTGTGTATTTAACCAGAAACCAGTTAATTGTGCTTCGAAAGCAAAAATATACTTTTTAAAACTGTATATTTCCCAACAAAAATTGCAAATGTTTCACAAACATGTATTTTTATGTTGTTCTTTTTTTTCTTTCAATTTTTCATCATCGATTTTTCCTATTTTTGTTGTTTCGTACAGGCCCAGGTTCTCAGTAGCCTAAGTCATCGCAACATCATCCAATTTTATGGTGCAGCGACTGTGGCCCCCAACTACTGCCTCGTTACTGGTAAGAAAGTGAAAATTAAAAAAAAAACATCTTTCGACAAACTATGCTGAGCCTCAGATAGCCGTCAATTTACAACTTTGTGATTTTATTTATTTATTAGAATATGCTGCCCTTGGGTCTCTCTACTCCCACTTAGCTGATCCGGCAAACGATGTCGACTTCAAAGAGATTCTTACTTGGGCACGGCATGTAGCATTGGGTAAGTCCTGTTAAGTACTTAGAAACCCAATTCGTTTGTTAGAGAAGTCAAAAACTGTGAATTTAATGAAATTTCACCATTTAAGGCCTCGCAGCAAAACCTTTAAACCTATAAAACCGAATATTCTGACATACATTTCAACAGATTTTAAAGAAAATTTAAAGAATCAATTTTACCCACAGCTTAGTTGTTGCAATAAGTCCAAAATAAAACCACGTAGATGTAGGCCTGCTGATCTAAGATTTTTTTCACAAGTGTTTCAGAAATTGGAAGTTTGCCTATATATTGCAGCTTGGAAACCTTAAAAACCTAAATTTCGGTTTTCAACACTGCTCCTTCTCTTAAACAGTTTTTATTTGTTTGTCTTTTCTTTTATTTCATTTGTATATTGGACTACTGAAGATATCAGTAGTCAAGCTTGGGTTTGTTCTTTTGGAAATCTTTGTATACGCAGATAAGAATGCCAGCTTAGTTTTCTTTTATAGGGGGAGGGGGTGTGTAATTTGACCTTTTATATCTCAAGTTCTTTGTGTTGTTTTACAACTAGTAGGGCCTAATTATCTTCAGTACCAGCACAATAAATATGACTGTACTTTTGCTGTTCTTGAACGTAATTTATGAAATATATATTTGTAAAAAGTTTACAAATGTACTTGCTCTTCTATTTTTTTTTTATACTGGTAACAATTAAGCAAACATGCTACTGGGTTTTTTCTTTTTTGTTTTTCAATAAAGTTAAACCTTCTATTACAAAATTTTGTATTATTTATTTGGTTCCTTTTTGGGGTAACTACAGGGTGAATCAAAAAAGCGAAACCCAGATGTCGGGACTATTTTTTTTAATGAAATTCTGCATGTAGCACTTTCAAAATCTAGGATATGAAAGCCCAATTCATAAGCTTTCCTTTAGTACAAGAATCATTCAAATCACTCATGTACTTTTCAAGTTGCAGAATTTTAAACACAACCATCGTTTTAAAGTTCTGTCCACAGATCACAGAAAAGGTGTGTGTTCTTTCAGCAAAACGAATTCACACACATCCCTATGTGATTTGTTTTTGTTTTGCTGAAAGTGAAAGAACACTCAACTTTTTGTGATCCGTGGACAGAACTTTAAAATGGTGGCTGTGTTTAAAATTCCCCAACTTAAAGAGTACAAGAGTGATTTGAATGATTCTTGCACTAAAAAAACCTTATGAATTGGGCTTTCATATCATCGATTTTGAAAGTGATATTTGCAGAATTTGACAAAAACAACGGTCCCGAAATTTGGGATTCGTTTTTGTGACTCATCCTGTACTTCATGCAGGAAATGCAATCAAGAATTTTTTTTTTTAATATTTCCACTTGGAAAATAGTCCATTGTGTTTTCTGTTCATTACTTTGTAAACAGGTATAAATTATTTGCATAATGAGGCTGCTGTCAAGGTGATACATCGAGATTTGAAATCTAAGAACTGCGTCATTTGCGAGGGAATGATTGTTAAGGTATGGAGGAATACTGGGCCCTTTAATAGATAGATTCATTATAGTAGGCTTCGACCTCAACTTATTTTTTTCACTAGCCAACCGGGCTTCTGAAACAGACTCTTAACTAGCCCGCGTGCATTTTCACTAGCCTGCATGTTTTTCTTTTATAGGATGTCTAATAAACAACAATGTGCATACATGTAAAACGTGTATCCTGAGGCAATGTTGTCAGTGTTTTTAATAAACAGATCTGATAATTGAACCCTAAGCAGTTAAGAAAATTAGACACAAATTGATACAGGTTTGCTTTCTGAATTTAATGATTTCTTTCTTCCGGTCCTTTCATCTTTGCCGTAGCCCAATAATTGTTGACTCGCCAGCCGGGCTACTTAAGGAATACTTTGACTAGCTCGCTGCCGTTTTGACTAGCATTTGGCTAGCGGGCTACTGCTAAAGTTGAACCCTGGTTATAGGCTCAGGCCAAAATAACCCCAATTCTGCATCCGATAACATGCCATTCGAAAATAGGTAGGTAGGTAGGGAATGTTTTTTTTTTTGCAATTTTTTTTGTGTACGATCATATGGCGGCATTTGCATGTAGTCAAGAATAAAAGGTAGAAATTGATGGTTAAGGGGGTTTTATTCGCATTTCTCCAGTAAAAAAAAATTATGGTAGGGGCTGTCAGAATAGGGTAGGTAGGGAAACCGGAAGCAGAACTATTTTTTGTTTGGCCTCCACCACCGTACCTACAGGTGTCAACACATTTGCTTCTCCAATGCCATGTATTAAAATATCAGAGTTTAACAAGTCACTGAATTTTGTGACTCAAGTCGAGTCGAGTCATTTTCAAGAAGTGGTCAAGAAGGTCGAGTTGACTCGAGTCAATTTGAGTCATGAATGTTTTATTTTGCCTCCTTGGATGATGCAGCTTGTTGATTTTGGGGCGTCCCGTTTCCATGGCAGCACAGCGTTGATGACGATGGCTGGTACTTTCCCCTGGATGGCTCCAGAGGTCATCCTAGGGGAGGCGGTGTCCGAGAAATGTGACACCTTCTCCTACGGAGTGGTAAGTCTTACGAGAAGAAAACTTCCTCAGAGGGGCTGAAAACGTTCTGTGCCCATATTTCATTGTATTTAACACAGTGTAGATAAATTTGGGGGATTAATCGTCGTTACTCACAGCAGAAGTTGAGTTGCGAAGGACGCAGCTGCAACGTGGTCGAGCCGGAGGCATGTAAAGGCGCCTTAGGCTGCCGCCATACGACACATGTCTGACCACAGAGCACAGCCAGGAATTGATAGTGTTGATTTTTGCAGAGGGAGGAATACCAGAGAACCCAGAGAAAAACCGTCATGGCGCAGGAGAGAATCAACAAACAACGCTACTCACAAACGTCCCGAGCCGGGCATCAAACCCGGGCCACAGTGGTGAGAGGTGATCGCTTACGCACTAGCCACCCATGCCACCCATCTTTTGGATCCAGGATTGTTTTTCAGCATTCTCTCTGTTCTGTTGTCCTCAGGTTTTGTGGGAGCTTCTTACCAGAGAGGTGCCCTTTAAAGGTGTGGAAGGGTTTCAAGTTGCCTGGGCAGTTGTTGAGAAGAACGAAGTAAGTTCAGAGAGGAAAAAAGGAGCAAGTAAAGTCATGAACTTGCTTCATTTACACATGATTGTTATACCTCTGTTTTGGAAATGAACACTAATTTTTGTCTCTTTCGTGTTGTTGACTGTTAGAGGTTAGCAATACCCAGCACGTGCCCTGACAAGCTGGCAGCGCTTATACTGCCGTGCTGGGAGACGGATCCGAAGAAACGACCGGCCTTCAAGGACATACTCAAGACACTGGATCGCCTGATTGAAGACAGTAAGTAATCCTTGAAGAGGAATATCTTAAGAATATCTTTAATGCATATAGGATCATTTTCTCTTCATGCGTTTTGTTCGTTTGCAATAATAACGCCACTCAAAATCCAAAGACGAATGTTCAGAACCTAACCTGTTGAAGTTTAACAGCCCAGTGGATATTACACTTTTCGAGAAAACAGTGAAAAAACATGCGCAACCTTTTAATCACAAAACACGACTTTGCCAAAGAACTCTTTATTTCCAAAAATCAGTCATTATCTGATCGAAACACCTCTCTAGCTTTATAATGGGGTGTCCAGCTCGCGAGTAAGACGTAAACAACTCCTTTTATGGAGATTGGCGCACGCGTCGTGCGTTCTGCGCGATGATGCGCAGATGCAGCTGTGTGAATTTGTTGTGCATTTCGGACTATAAAATACTGGCGCACTGATAGTATTGCGCATGCTTACGTGAGGATTTCATAGGAGTCCAAATTTCATGTGACACTGGACAAGTGGTTAAGACCAGCCAGCCATGTTTTTATCATCCATTTCAGACTGGCCACGTGACAGGCTCTCGACCAATAGGAATGGGTAAATGGTCTTAGGTATTTATGAGTGCTCCTTTGTAACTTTAATTTGAGACGAGATGACCTGTTCTTGATGCCACACCATTGTACTTCCAATTACTTGACTAATTTAAATGTCTTTTCTCACAGAGCCTCTATCGGAAGAAACAGGTACTTTCCTCATGCAGAAGGAGAAATGGAAGTAAGTGGCTGCATCAGTCAATAAAATGTTGATCAAAACAATTTCAAGAAGCCTTTAGTAAAAGATGTTAAGTGACACTTTTGTGGCAACGAGGATAGGTCTAGACGTATGTGGCCATGCGTGTTGTGCCCTTGAGTAAGGCGCTTTACCTCAATTACTCCTCTCAACCCAGGTGTTAAATGGGTACCGGCATTATTCAATGCTGGGAAGGTAACAGACTCGCTGTGGAGGAGGTGTGGCGATCCCCCCACAGCAGCATATGAGTCTGGCCCAATCGCTAATGAAAGAGAGATGGGCACTCCGTTCCTGTGAGCACAGGTTCGTCCCCTTTCCCTGGGAAGACTGAAGTATTGCGGGGCCACAGATAAGTAGATTTTGCAGGACCACAAGTAATTATTCAATATTCAAGTGTTGGCTGATATTCTTTTTAGTCGATGTGTCTTTCAAAAACGAATAACATTTGTATTTTAAGGGGAAAAAGGCAATTTTAAAAACAAAACTATCAAAAAAAATTGTGTTTTGTTTTTTCAAAAGAGTTGAGATTGACGAGGTGATGACCCGCATTCGTCAGATGGAACGGCAGCTGAAGGACAAAGAAAACAAGCTGGATACGCGAGAGAGCCGCTTGCGTCACTTGGAGGACGCCCTCGCAGGGCAGATTGTCGTCCCGTTCAGCGCCGACGTCAAACACGACGCCAACCACTGGAGCGAGCAAGAGGTTTACCTGTGGGTTTTACAACTCCAAGCTAAAGGTTACTTCTTTTTTTTTCAGAAAAGTCTTGATTTTCTTGTGTTATCCTGCAGTTACTGCTGGTGCAGTAAAACGGAGAATACACTAGAAAGTGTGGATTCGTAATTTAAGAAGTCACGAGGCGCGAAGTGCCGAGTGAATTCGTAAATTAAGAATCCACACTTGCGAGTGTATTCTTTGACTTAAACCATTGCGTCAAAAGAAGTATTTGTATCAAAAAAATAAGTAAATGTTGACTTGTTTTATATGTTGAACTGTGCAAATCGGTGAATAAATGGCAGAGAACGATCTTTTACTGCTACGCTAGCATAAACCACAATCACCAAAAAGTATAGTTTCAGAAAGCAGTGTGGCTAACAGGAGGTAGTTTCTTTAACCTTTAAGCGATTATCTCTTTGGGACTTAAGTGGAGCAGGAAAGGGAACTTTGTTTACTTCAGGACTTCCCACAGAGGTCTAAAGAGGGCCGTTTTGGTCGTGGCAAAACCTAATCCCGGGAAAAAAATGTCCTGTTAAACTTTTCTTGAAAGACCAAGTTTTGTGAATAGTTCCAGGCCAGAAACGGAGCGATCTCGCCCAGTACGCCAACCTGATGTTGGAGCATAACATCACCGGACGTCGTCTCTTGTTGCTTTCCATGGATGACCTCCTGGCCCTGGGGATCAAGTCCTTAGGCCATCGTAAGGACCTTCAGTTGGAGATCCAGAAACTCACCTTAGATAACTACCGGCTTCAGCATTTTCCCCCGCTGTCCAGTGTAAAGGTGAGTGTATCAGTAAAAGTTGGTCGGTGATGAGAGGTTAAAGTTGCGTTACCTGCTGGATCCACTTTCCATAGATATGCTGTTTCATTGTTAGCCATAGCCATGTCAATTGGACACGGCCTGACTGTCTACGTGTCGGTTTTCCTTTCTGATTTTGCAGAGCATTCCTACCACACCGACTAAATCGGTCGGTAGTAACAAAACCCTAACAGGAAGTCAACCGACGACCTTTCACCTGACGTTAATATTCGGCAATCTCTGCAGGCCGGGACCCACACCAGAGGTTTGTCGTTTTGTTAAATCTATTATAATCTTGGCATGAGCGCAAGTGGAATGCGGAATACTGTACTGTGTCTGTGTCTTGTTTTCTACAAGGCCGAAGGTCTCAGACTCACTACATTTTCTGTGTTCTACGAGCCTTGTAGGGCTCTCTCATTGACCCACTTGTCCCAGCCTACATCTGGGAACCGGAAAGTCAGCGTCGCCATTGTAGTAGGCAAAGAGCGCCGTGTGCATAGGTAGGAAGCAAGCCTTTAAATCTGTGACGGATGGCAAAACTGTGAAAAAAAGGCGGAGGCAACAGCTAGTGGGGTGCTGTGGTCCAATGGTTACAGTGTTCGACACGTGTGCCGTGGTACATGGGCTCGAATCCTGATAGGGAACATGGTGCTTGTGTTCTTGAGCAAGGCACTTTACCATTATTGCTTCGTCCTTCGGATGGGACGTAAAGCCGTAGGTCCCGTGTTGTGTGTAATGCACGTTAAAGAACCCAGTAACACTTATCGCTAAGAGAAGGGGTTTGCCCCGGTGTTTCTGGCAGTGGCTGCAATATGCGCCGCAGCACCTTGTATACCCTTTATTAAGGTGCTACATAATGGGTCTCACATTTCTCATAAACTTCATTTACCTGTCTTTAAAAAATAGACATAATAACCAGCGCCTTGAGTACCGGTACCTAATTGTTGGTAGATACGTGCGATGTAAAAAACTCCAGTATTATTATTTTATCAGCACGATTATGACAACCATACACGGCACAGGTAATGACCGCTAGGCCATTTTACAAAGAATTGCAGTTATTTTAGTTTAAAGCGCACAATATGGTTGCTAATCGAATGCTTGCCTACTGCAATGGTGGCTAATCACGGGGAAACCAGATGGTCATGTGGCACTTTGACATCATACAATCGGACCCTATTGAAATAACACCAGTTGTTTTGGAAGTGTTTATTTTGTGGGGAGGGTTTTTACATTTTTTTATTGTTATATTTTTTTTTGGTTTTTAAGGAATATAAGTGGAAGGTGTACGTTGAGACAGACTGTGATGACAATTCCTCACGCTGTATCAGGGATGTGACATTATCCTTGGGCGAACCGGGGGCCAAGGAGAGTTTCCGACACCCGCCGTACGTCATGACCAACTGGAGGGTTAGTAAGAGGGGCAGCAACATCGGTGTGGAATGCACAGTCACATATTGGGTAGGTTTAGATTTCCTTGACTGTCAAATTCTTGAGTTGTATTGTTGTAATTACTTGCAAATAAGTCCGTACAGATCTTCCTTTGTCAAGTTAAGAGATACACCTTGTTCTGGATTGCACCCTTTTGCACTTTAATAATTTGTCAAGACCTGTGATGGACTTGTGATGGACTTGTAATTGACTTGTAATTGACTTGTGATGGACTTGTGATTGAGTTGTGATGGACTTACGATTGACTTGTGATGGACTTGAGATTGACTTGTGATTGACTTGCGATTGACTTGTGATGGACTTGAGATTGACTTGTGATTGACTTGCGATTGACTTGTGATTGACTTGTGATCGACTTGTGATCGACTTGTGATCGACTTGTGATCGACTTGTGATTGACTTGTGATTGACATGTGATTGACTTGTAATTGAGTTGTGATTGAGTTGTCATTGACTTGTGATAGACTTGTGATGGACGTGTGATTGACTTGTGATTGACTTGTGATGGACTTGTGATTGACTTGTGATGGACTTGTGATTGACTTGTGATTGACCAAATACCATGGACTACATCACAGCAGACAATTGTATTTTGTCCCCGTAACCAAGGAAACAGACTGAATGTTGGCTATGAAACTTTTCCAATTTGCAGGATTCAATTAAGAAGCCTAAATCGACGTGCCACGTCCACAAAGTCACTTCAAATGACAAGAACCAGCCATCAGAAAGGAAGATCAAACTAACAGGTACCCCGCCGGCCAGGTCTAGCAGCCCTCTACCATCATCCTATGACTCAGGCGGCAGCGGGAGTCTGGGTACCCTACAAGGGGTGTGGTCAACTAGGAAACTACAAAACAGCATGGATCCTGGTCTCTACGAGAGTATAGGTAAGTTTGTTTGTTGGGTTGGTTTTTCTTTGTTCCTTTTTTGTTTGTGTGGTTATTTTGGTGAAACAGAGAACTTGAGTTATGAGCTCCATGCACAAACAAGAGAGGGCGCTGTTTTACCAGTGCTCCAGTGGGGGAGACACCGCGTGCGCGTACTAGTTCGCGAAGTATGTGCGACTGAATATACGCAAAGCCATAGCGTCTTTGCGTGATCTGCAATGCTTTGAATGTCTCGCCCGGTGGTCTCCCCCAACTCTCCCTTTCTTACCGTTGAGGGGGTACTTGTTCATGGGGCCCGTACATGAAGAACAAATGACATTGGACTCCTGGACTTAGTAAGCCTGAAATAATGGTGAAAATTAATTGTAACCCTCAGATAAAAAGCCAGGTGTTTGGTCTGGTGTCGTGGCAGGAAAAGTCACCCCAGCAGCAAGCAAAACCAACCCCACCCCATCACCGAAGATCAACCCCCTTCATGAGGGCTTCAGTTTCGCCCCTCCGGTCGATCCGACCACCCCTCCTCCACAATGGCCTGTCCGGAAGAACCCCTCCACTGGCACACCTCCAACACTACCGCTGGGGTCAAGGTCACCGTTTGCAGTGGACTGTACCATTAATCACACAGGGGTGAAATCGCAGGTTGACTCGGATGACGATTCATCTAGCGCTGGGTACAGGACTGCGAACTCTTCTCTTTCCACACCTTCACCGGAAATACGGAGGCTGAGGACTGGGCATCACTTAGACAGGTAAGGACCACTGATCTCTAGATCCTTACTCAATGGTGTGCCATGAGCACAAGCTGAAGCTACATTGGCGCCATTTTGGGGGCCCTAGTAGATCTTAATATAAAATCTTGATACATTGTACTATCCCATGTCCTCTCAACGTACAACGAAGGTACTGTACCACAGGGCAAATATGCCTGCGTGTACGTGTTGTGTTCTGCATAACCCCCGAGGACCGTCACACAAAGGGAGAACAACAGATCCTTTCAGTCCTCGGGAGTTGGGTCTTTTGTTGGAAACGGTCCTCTGTAGTAAGTTTGTGTGCTTAGTCTATGGGAGAGTGTTATATTACAGGGACAAAGGGAAACACAAAGCATTGTCCTCGGGAGTATAGTAAAACATGCCAACATGGACTCGAGTGCATCTAGGCAATTGATCTTTATCATGCTCCCACCATTTCAGTCACGTTCCCTGGATCCAATAACAGTACTGAATGATAATGTTTTTGTGCCAAAATCCCCAGAAATCTGAGTCATTCCAGCACTGGTGCCGACCCCACCCCTCCCAAGTCCTCCTCCCCAGGGATGAGCAACCAGGAGTGGCTCTATCCCCGCTCCCGGTCCGTATCGAGCGGTATCCCGCTAGTCGGTGTCCAACGGGAGGTCTATCGACACAGGCTGCACAGTCCGTCCCGGAACCGACGGAAATCGGGCAACCGAATAAACAGTGGCCTAAGCCCCCAGGACCTGCAGAGAGGCAGGAGTACCGGGGAAAGTGGTACACACACTGCAGCAGATTCTAGGGTTACCAACCGAGGTCATTCGGGGTCAGAGAGAGGTCATCAGAGGAACAGTTGGGCAGGTCAATCTTATAATGAAAAATATTGAATGTGTGGTTGTAAGAAAAAAATACATATATATTTTATATAATATTGGATGGTTTTGAGAGGCTTATAAAAACATATTGCATGAGCTATAACAATATTCAACTCGTGCAATATTGTTATAGCGAGTGCAATATATTCTTATACCCCTAAAGAAAAAAAAACCACCCAAGATTATTATTATTTATATCAGGCTGACTTTAGGCAAAAGAAAAAAAAAATTAAGGACTCACACTGTTTCTCAAATTTTGTCAAATACTCTTCGCTTAAATACCAAAGCAAATTTCGCGCTGCTCGAAGCTGCGATTGTGGTTGACAACAGTGCGTGTATAAGCACCTTGCGTGGGATGGTACCGCGCGCTACGCACAACTGTAGGTTTCTACGCTCTTGATTGTGCGGGAACCAGCGAAATTTGTAAAAATGCCCGAATGAAGACAATATCAAAAATAATGTTGCAGTCATTCGGGTACTTTGACTGACATAATAATATTGCAGTCATTCGGGTACCACTTCGGATAAGTGTACAATATGCTGATTTGTTTTTGTACGTGGAAGCCTGATTTAAATAATTATGTATCATATAGTCTTTAAAATATTTGCAATATAATTTTATGTAGTTTTGTTACCAAAAGTAAGTCTTTTGTAAGATGACCAAATCTACAAAGAGCTTTCATGCTGTAGTCTGATTTTTTAGTAATCGTTAAAGAGCACTACTAAAAACAAACTAGACTTTTTCCTCTTTTTGAACGAATTAAGTATTTAACCAGGAAGAATATGTTTTGTCAACACAGCCTTTCGAGAAATAGTGTAAAAGGCATTTTTGTTAATGTAGATCACCTTTGTTTACAACTTGGAATTGAGTGAAAAACAAAGAAATCAAGGTTATTATCTTTCTGTTAATTTCTTTGTTTCCCCTGAATGACATAATGTAAACAAGTAACGTCAACAATGTAAACTTCAGTTTTGTGTTTGGCGCTGTGACAGAAAAACAGTATTCTACATGGTTGAAAGTCTACTTTATTTGTTCAAAAAAAAGTGGGGGAATTAATTGTTTTCTTAAGTGATGCTCTCTGTCGCGGTAAATTTAGTGTGTCGTGTGCTTTTTGTGCTGCTCCCAATTTCACGAAGCGCTGCGACGCGTCGCAACCCGAGTTACGACGTGTGAAGTGATTCATACTCGGCGCGAAAGTGAACGCGAATTTGTGACATGATCTTGGTAAGTATTAGCGCTGCGAATTTGTGAAAGCTGAACGTATTTCAACCCGTCGCAACTCAATACGCGTCGTATGATCCATCTTACGAAACTTGCGCATCGCACTTACGGCATGTTTTGTGAAATGGATCGCAGGACGCATTGCAGTTGCGACGCATCGTAGGGATATGACGCATCGCAGCACTGCGATGCATCGTAAGTTACGATGGGTTTAATGAAATCGGGTGCTGCTATGCTTGTTTATTGAGGCTTGAGAATGTATGCTGTCGGCCACAATTCATTGCCAAATTAATTGCATTTTTTAAGTTCCAACTTTCTAAAAAAAAAATAAATAAATAAATAAATTTGACCAGTCGGGTAACTTGTGATATATTTTGCCTGACATTCATATTTATGTAGAAACTTACATTTGTCTTTTAAATATGGATATTGCAATATTCGCTGTTCATGAAACAGTATTATGTACGCATTATTGTTTTATAAAAAAATAGCGAAGTAACTTGAGAACTTAATTATCCAAATTAATCTGCCTGTGGTGTGTTGTGATATAAATATATTGGTAAGAAAAGACTTCGTCGCAGGCTGCCTACATACTTAATGACTTGAATGAAATAGATAAATTATATTTTATATTGAAAGTTCAGCCTTAGCTGGATGAGCCTCAGAATGATAATTTTAAAAAGAGGAAGTTTGGAGGTCCTAACCTTAATCTTGGCAAAAAAAAATTCTAAATAATATGCTTTTATTTGTAGAAAATTTCTGCCTGGATTAAATTGTCAGGACCCCCAAATGTTCGTTTTCTCAAAAGAAATTAATATATTTAGTATAGATTGCAATAAATGATGGATCTTTTGAATTTTAAATTTTAGGTTATTTGGGTTGTCGTTTTTTGTCCACTGTGGTTTTGACTTCGCTTGCAGTGACAATCAGTCCGCACCTGCGCACAATTGATCCGTTAAGCCACGCCACACTATGTGTTCACCAATCACAGCCGTGATAAATCATAGATCGGATGAATGATGCCGACATATATGCGTGAAGGTTCGTATGACGCGCATTGGTGGAGACGCGCGCGTGTTGGTGTCCACGTGCGCATTAGGCGGGGCCTAAATGGATTGGTCCATTTGACGTAACGGTAAGACTCGTATCTTTGAGGGACCATATAAAATGATAAATCTTACCAAAAAATCCACGGAAGCTTTGTGAACAATATTAGTATATGCAAACAATGTTTCGCTAGTGAACAGTGAATTGGTTCTGCTGTCAAAACCAATACTGTTTTCAAGGAGGTCCACCGACGTGGGTCTTCCCCTATAATGGACCATTATATTCAACCCCTGAAAATTATTACGCGTGCTGTCCTGCATTCTCTGCGCCGGAATGTTTACACAACTTTCCCAGTCAAATGGGCCAATGTACTAAACATTTCGTTTGTTGCGCGAGAGATTCTAAAATTGTTCTGCTGCATTAATTTTTGAGGAGTAAACAGTAAACATCGTTCCATGTTTTTTTATGCCAGGGTATGTGAATTGTTTGTACCATATCTACATTGTAATCTTAAAAACAATTCTGTTCCCCCCCACCCCCCAAACATAAACCTGGGTTGCAAGAAAATAAAAATTGAAAAAGGCTTGTGGGAAAATGTTGGGACGAGGATACACCGGTAACATGTTTTTGTTGTTGTTGGGCTAACTAATCGATACTCCTGAAAGTGAAAAGAAGTGCTTTTGCATGGAGATCCCATGCGTGCTACATAATAATAAGGGCTGTTAGTGTTACAACTTGAGTTGTCAACTTTTCGTGGTGAATGTATATAGACAAAGTGCGACGTCATAGTACAGAGGCTTATTGAGAAGGCAAAACATAGTTCTTATAATAAGGACCATATACACGCTTTGAGCTTTATTCGGGAAAACGCTCCCTATACAACCATAATAGAGCAAGGAGTACAACCTTCAAGATGGAATTTAATTTGAGTCGCATCCCCAACTCCGCTGAAATGTTTGACCGTGAGTATTGTTAAAACTTTGCTGATTAATATACCAAGCCTTCTACTGTGATATAGCATATAGGATCTGGTATATGTTTCTGTCGCTTATTTATTGCGACGAAACCACTGGTTAAACGTTGTTGACAATTGGAATATTTTGTCCTTGCATGTAGATCCTGGCGACTTAAGTGACCATGTTTAACCTTTTTTTATTCCAGAAGGTTTTTTTTTCTTCAAGTTCAATTGATAAAAGTTCAAATGTGTGTTTTAGTAGTTTTATATTCCTATTTCTTAGGCCTAAGCTTTTTAAAAGAATCTCTTCTCCGCCCTTTGTTTTAAATCATACATGTATTTGCAACATATTTTTCACGTCGTATTTTATATATTGTCAATAATATTGTCTTTTTATTTGTGTCCAACAAATTGTAGCTATGTAGAAAGGCTTTATGGCTCGTTTTGACACAATTTTGTATCAGCTGAGAAAATCGAGAAAATGGAATGTTTCCATTTTGGAAAATCCGCCATCTTGGGGCGGGGGGAGAAGGAAAAAAAGGTGCCCGCCTCCTTCATTTTTTTTTCAAAAAAGCTGATGGACGAGAAACTGTTTATTTGTTTTTTTTATCAGCCTTATGTAGGCCTTCCCATCCATTTGTAAGGCAGATGGTTTGGAGTTATAAATAGTGTACGGAATTTCATGCCAAGAGAAGAACAAACAAGAAAGAAAGAACATCGCAAAAACCAACAAACAAACAGACCGTCTTTTATGAAAATAACCAGCCTGTATCTTACTTTGAAAAAAAAGTCCAGGCTAGATTTATAGGCTTAGATGGATTCAATCAGCGTCATGCTACCGCGACAACTTATGTTTTTTTAAAGCTAATTAAAATGTCTTTGGGATAATACTTTCTCCCGGCCCCAACGGTAACAATCGCAAACAGCAACCTTTATTTGTTCAGCTCCTGTACCTATGGATGTCGTCGTCTGTGCTATTCAGTACGACCATGGGCTTTTGTCATTCGTATTGTTCGGTTTCAGCTCCCATTGTTGAGCGATATGGCGTTGGCGAAGGCCAGTTAACTCTCACCTACATACCAACCAAGACATGTTCCCACGGTATACCTTGGATCCTGGCAGAAAAAAAATTGCTTGCCCAGCCAGTCCGCAGTGCACGCGAAAGTGCTTCCTTTTCTTTGCAACGTATTCATGAATTCCCGTGCGTGACCTCGCCTTGCATATTTAATGAGCTGGAATAGCCTGTGGAATGTGGGAAAATACTCGGCTTTTTTTGGCATGTATGATCACTTTGTTGATATAAAATCACAGATGAAGAGTATATCTTTCAAACTGTTGAAGTTTGAATAAGATTTTGTATCGATTAAAATGAGAAATTTTGGGACGAATTTTGGTTCAAAAAAGAAAATAATCGCGATAGAAAATACGTTAAAATCTCTCTTTTTTGTGTGTGCCCACAGCCCAAATTTTCACTAGACAAACAGGTTACTTCATATTCTACATGAAAATGTACCTTTATACTCACAATTTTGTCTAGCTGGGTCAGGGCGCAAGGTTTTCGCCACGAACTACCGGCAGACTGAAACGGTACAACCGCCATCTTTGCACATGGATTTCTAGGCTTGTGATTGGTGGATGGCGAGTATTGCACATACCCGGATGTACTTGTAAACAAGCCGGCGCGGCCCAGATTTCGGACACGGATTTTGTTGTGCTTTATGCTATATGGTACAATAAGTTTCGTTCCAATATTCTTGTTGGTTTCAATCCAAATAAAATGTTACAATATTAGTTTTGACATGGAGCTTTTCAATTCATTTTCACAGAATGATTTTGTTTTATATTTTTTTTGCTATAAATGGAAATAAATGTTCTTGAATTGAATTAAATTGAAAATGATACATTTTCACAGAATGTTTTTTTTTTTTTAATTTTGCGATAAATGGAAATAAATGTTCTTGAATTGAACTTAATTGAAAATGATACACCATTACTTGATTTACTGGGTGGCTAGAACTGTGCAATGGAGGGTAGTTTGTGATTGAAATTATTTTCAGAAACTTTCCCTAGTAACAAAAAAGTAACAGCAACATTCCAAACAGACGCTGAATACATGAAACTTAACATGTTTTATTAATGTGTTTAATAGGAAGGGGCGTAATCATACATGTCGCCACTACATTTTAAGTTAAATGGAATGGAGTTTGGCCGCCACCATGCATTTAAGTTTTTATCAGACTTGTGTTTTCTTAAAAGGAAGTGGTTTTCTGGCTAGAAAAATAGCAAGGAAGAACCGGTTTTGTGCAGGCAAAATTCAGGAAATAATCTGTTGATATTAATAACTTGTTGGAAAGTTCCAAGGTCATTCCAAGAAGGTTGCCGCCGTGAAATAGGGTTAAAACATGGGAGGGGGATGGGATTTGCTATCAGCATCAGCATGGCCGTTCCTCATTCTTTTCTTTTTATGGGATGTATGATAACATTGGAGTACGAGGGGCTCTGCGAGCTGATGAATCTTTTTTTTGAAAACATTGTGTTTGCAACCAGCTAGGGAAGATTTTCGTTTATTTAAAACTTACAAGCACTGGTATGGATACCTGTGTAGTTATATGACTAAACTGCCTAGAGCGTATTTGTTAAGTTTTTTTTTTCCTTTTTTGGAAATTCAATACGCATATAGGGAGTAAGATCAGTTCCACTGCTGGGTTGCGGTAATGGGTGCACTGTAAAACTTTTCTGTAATTTGGACAGTATCTTACTGTAATTTCCCACAGTAGTGTGCTGTATATTTGTTTTACAGTACCTTACAGTGAAGTACAGTACATTGATAGGAGCCGTTGTATTAGTTGTAAAATACTGTAAAAAATTAAATTATACAGTAATGTCTACAGTAATTTACAGTAATTTACAGTAATTTCTTTTTACAGTATCGTACTGTAGACAAGCTTAAACAAGCTTAAGCCAGCAAAATGAAGCGAATATAGTATCGCCCCGTATCGCGTAAAGTGCTAGGAGTGAAAAGGCTAATTACCAGCCGATATCTTGTCTTCACGGATTTGATGTGTACTGTTATATCTTTTTCCTGAATTATTACATGTCCGTAGGAAATCAGTGCAAAATTGATGCTTGCTGCAATCATGATAACAGTAACACACTGATACAGTGATTATACGTCCGTGAAGGGCAATTTAAACTATATATCCCCCGACTGTTGTACTGGGTTTACAAAGTGTACTTTACTCCAAGACCTACTCGGTCAGGTTTTTATCGGATCACTTTGTATTTTCACACTTAGATTAATTTCATTTTAAGTTCCATGTTTTGTCATTTTTATTTTCATGATATAGGCCTATAAAGGTTTGTATTTTTTTAACTGCCATTCGCTTCTGAACTGTGGGGTGATTTGCTGCCTCAGCAGAGGTTTCTCCTTGAAACCATTTATAACCTTGCTGTACGATCTGACCGCACGGTCTTCCCTTGAGAGTGCCACGTTGGACCGTTACATTTTTGGCGGGCTGGCTGGTCATGAGGTTGGCAAATAGTATATTGGTCAGTTGTCCACCTTGCCACATCATCATTCCTAAGCTGGAATCGGCACAAACCAGGAAAGATCAGCTTGCTCTTTCGCATTACAGGATTGTTGGATGTGCTTTCTTAGGTGAGTCTCATTTTTGTGTGTTTAGACTTCTTTTTATGGATTTTCGTAGATTTGTAGGTTTTCCCGGCTAGCCAAATTCTAAAACATAATCCTACATCTATATGGAAACTAAGCGAATTATTAAGCTATTTATTTCCATTCCCATGGTTTGTATTCGATGTCAGACTTGGTTGGAGTGTTATTTCAATTTTATTTTCCGTTTGATCAATGGTTATTGCATGAGACTTTAATTTCCGCTCATTCTATTAAGTAGTACCTACCAGAATGCATTCAAAATAAAATGTGATTTTTCCAAATACACATGTACTGCAAAAGATTGAATACAGAATATTGTCTAAAATCTTGTGTTTGTAAAGATCATTAGATGTCACAAAATCCAAGAAGTATAATGTAGCTTGATTCCCTGTTCCCTCTCAAATTGAAATTGGAGCAATAACAGTCGGAATTGGTTGGGAAACTGGCTCGTACACTTTTTATGATTTTGTGTTATCGATAGCAAACAACATTCAAAGCTTACTAAGTAAACATGGTAAGTCGGAGTCTTTTTTTTAAAAGCCTTTTTTTCCAACACTGCCGACCAAAGTTGAAACTTGATACAGACATTCCACTTTTCTTGAAATTGTCAGCACACAAGATGCCACGATTTTACACGAGGCTTTAGACTGTAATTTACTTAGGGTCAAAGAAAGTTCAGAGAGGTATTTCAGAATAATTTTGTAGTTTGTCTTATGATGTTTGCAAATGTTGCGGATTTGATTGACCATTATGACCAAACTTTCAGCTCAAACACATGTGGAACAATCTGAAAGTACATTAAAACTTGGGAGGAACATTGGCGATTTTGTCACAAATTGGTTGCCTGACCTATTTTTATTTGCCGGGAAAACCTGCACTTAAAGTTCGCTTAATTTTGACTGAACTTTAGCAGTAGTACCATTAAATCCAAGCCACTGGATTGAAATTCACTGACTTTCGTTTCGATTTTTTTGAGACACTACAATGAGAAGAAACAAGCAATCATCACCTACTGTGTATTCTTGTAATTGGAAGTTATGTTATTAAGATAAGTGTCAAAACAGTGCATATTCGCAGTATGACCGTGTATCTTCAGCAGTCAGTCTTTTTCTCTGTAAGGGGCTTTGTCACAAAAAAGGTCAAATTATTCTTTATTTCTTAAAATGTCCGAAAAATCTGAACTCAAAGAATTTAGAAAGGATTGTGAATTAGTGTGCAGTGGTACCTATACTGGGACTTAACGTTCATTACTCCTTGGTGAATTTCAAGGGCAGATTGCTTTTTTCCAATCACTGCTGCTGTATCTGGGAGGAAAGCAGTTCCCTGAATTAAATGTCATAATTCATAGGTCCACTGCATTTCGGTATCGATTTTGAGTATTGCGTGGTTCCTTTTTCTTTTCTTTTTTCGTAGACAAACCACCGGATTACTACCGTCCTTCAACAGTGCGGCTATAGATCGGCCATCCAGTGAGTGTTGGTCTGCTACTTTAATACATCACATTCCAGTCTAGCCACACGAAACTGTGTGGCCTGATATTTTTGGAGTTATTAGCCTTGTCAAATCATGGAGCTATAAAAAAGGACTCCATGGTCAAACTAAAGTGTACATCTGGAACCCCTTTTCTCGGTCACCAAGGTTCACTCTGAGCTCAGTGATAAACAAAGATAATTTTTGTCTTTTCTTACTCCTGATCTCAACTGTTATTTGTCATCTGAGAGTCAAAGCTTTGCCTGCATAACATATGTAAGCGATTCTTATTAATTTGTAAACGTCTTTCTTCAGAAGTCATGGGTTTCTGTTAACTGAAACTAAACAGCAGGTTACACTTGGAATCTTGATTTATGCATGTACTGGTTGTCATTTCTCAGTAGCAGGGACTACAACTGTGGATTGACATTGTAACTGTGAATGTGTTTATCTTGGGAGATGGTAAAGTGTTTGGCGAGTCAGCGGTTTCGTATATAAAGTATAGTGGCAATAGAGCCAAAAAACCTCACTGAACAGTGGTACGCGAAACAAAATAGGACATATACATTAGGCCTACAGCATAATTATGATTTACATTGTAGACACTATCAGTATAGCACTGTGTTGACCATTACAATGACATGTTCAAGTGTCAATTGTGTGATTACTCTAGTGAGTCTTTAAGGGCGTTTACAACACACTTTGAATTTCACAGAAACGTTGCTAATTTTGATTTTCCGTGTTGTGTGTCTTCATGCACTCGCAAATTTAGAAATTTTGCAACTTTTAAGTCGCATATCTATAGGGACCACTCAAATAATACAACACGTGTTGTATACCGGGACAATCACATTGCTCTAATTTGTTCGGTTTGTACTTGTAAGTGTAATTGCTTAGAAACTTATTGCGCTCATTTAAAAGAACACATTCAGAGCGGGGTCGAAATTGTATGTCCTTTCAAAAATTGTTCAAAGAAGTTCAGGATCAAGTCATCATTTTCTTCTCATCTTTCTCGAAAGCACAAAAAAAAGACATTCAATCTTCTTTCTGATTCTGTGCGTGAAATCCAAGATACAGACTCTTCTGAACCTGCAGACAGTGCAGAAGAGTTTACAGAAAGCGACATTTCTATTGATGAGGATGCCGAAGAACTAGATCTCAATTCCACTGTTGATCCAGACGTGTATTTGAACAGTTTGGCCCAGTTTTATCTGAAGTTACAAGCAAAGAATTTACTGCCCGCCTCGATAATTCAGAATATAATTGAAGAATTTCAAAACATTCATGACATTGGTCAGTCACATTTGTTTTCAAAATTAAAAGAGAAACTGCTTACATTGAATTTAGGTGAAATTGAAATATCAGACTTAACAAATGATCTTGCTAAGGGAGATCTTTTAAGAACTTGTAATAATGGCATTTTGAGATCGGATAAAACCCGTAAAAGATTCTTCAAAACCCAATTCAATTTCGTAGAGCCCATCGATATTTATTTGGGTCAAGACAGTGAATCTGGAAAACGAAGGTTTTACCAGTACGTTCCCATTCAGGACACATTAGTGGCATTATTTAAACAGAAATCTGTAAATGATCAGTACAGGGAAACCCACGCACGCATTTCTAACAATGACACTTTTGAGGATGTGTTTGATGGCAGGTCATTTTTAAGCAATCGTCTGCTTAGGGAACATCCGTCTTCGCTTTCGCTGATTCTTTATCAGGATTCATTTGAAGTCGTGAATCCATTGGGATCTGGCAAGAAGAAGCACAAGATACTTGCAGTTTATGTAACTCTTGCGGATCTCTTGCCACATAATAGATCTAATGTTGATCATATGCAGTTGGTACTTTTGTGCAGAGAACAAGATTACAAAACATTCGGAGATGAGGCTGTTTTCTCTCGCTTAGTCAAAGATCTACAAGAGATAGAGACTGAAGGCATCATCACAGAGAAAGAGACAGGCACATGCAGATTTCTAAGAGGGACACTATGTGCAATAGCTGGTGATAACCTAGGTTCCCATGGTATAGGCGGATTTTCAGAGAATTTCAGTAGAACAACGTACTTTTGTCGATATTGCACACAAGACAGAGAAACGTTCTATGAAAAACCAGAATCACTAGGTCCTGTGAGGACTATTCAAAACTATGAAGCTGCAGTTCAGTACTTGAATGACAATCCAACAGAAAACATTTATTTTGGCATCAAATCCGACTCCATTTTCAATAAATTGAATTATTTTCATGTTTGCCAGCCAGGCTTACCGCCATGCCTCGGTCATGATTTGTTTGAAGGGGTTGTCTCATATGATCTCGCTTTGTACATCAAACATTTCGTGCATGTCCAGAACTATTTTACCTATGAACAGTTAAACAGAATAATAGTGCAGTTCAAATATCTGGGAAGTGATTCTCACAACAAACCTTGCACAGTGAATATCAACGGCGAAAAAATAGGTGGGCATGCCTGTCAAAACTGGTGTCTGTTAAGATTGCTTCCTCTCCTGATAGGGAATAGAATCAAGGACCCTCTGGATGACGAAGTGTGGCAATTGTGTATACAACTTCGGAAAATCGTGGAGATAGTTTGTGCACCAAGAGTTACTTCTGATCAAATAGCTTATCTCAAAGTTCTCATTGAAGAATACCTTTGTTGTAGGAGTGCAACTTTTCCTGATAAGTCATTGAAGCCCAAACACCACTTCCTCGCTCACTATCCTCAACTCATCCATCAGTTTGGACCACTAATTCGCCTATGGACCCTACGGTTCGAGAGTAAACACTCATACTTTAAGGAGTGTGCAAGAAAGTTACATAACTTCAAAAACCTCTGTAGTACTCTTGCTAATAGGCACCAACTTCTCCAAGCGTATTTGGGTGCGGGTTCTCTGTTTCCTCCTTCAGTTATTTATGAGAAAGGATTAGAATTCCATGAAGATTCATACGGTGATCACATTAAGAACTGTGTTCAGAACTTCAATTTTCAACAAGGAAACACGGTAGCTACTCACAGCGTAACGTTCAAAGGAACAACATACAAACAAGGAATGTATGTGCCTCTTGATCACAATGATGATGGTATTGTGTTCGGTAGAATTGAATTGGTACTTGTTCATCGTAGCTCCACAGTCTACTTTGTTACGCGGAAATGCCAGTCAGTACATTTAATAGATTTAGGCGTTCATTGCTTATTTGGCAATTACCACGTAGGGTACTTATGCATCAATGCTGATAAATTAGTAGATTACTATGCTCTACCTCTGTACAAAAGTCATGGTTTGTCTCTCATTCCACTACATCATGCCATATATTGATGGTTGCAGGTTTCAGAACATGGATTTCATAAAACTTGAAATTCAGTCAGTGTTGCCAACACTGCCAGAACCCTTGCTATTGGCTGTCGTGGACAAGGTGACCGAGTCGGGTGTTGAAGGAGTACAAGACTTACAATTCATTGAAGAATCTGACTTGGCAGAGCTCCTTAAGCCCGTCCAGAGCCGTAAACTGATGCGTGCATGGAAAGCAAAAGGTGAGCATTTTTAAAATACTGTCTGACATTTAAAATAATGATTTTTGCACTTCATGCAACTGGCCTCTGATGTCAGCGTTTGGTTTTAAAAATGAAGTAAGCTGACTCTTTAGTGTCTCAGTTTGTCACCAGTGACCAGGAATGAATTGAAGACGATGCAATGGCTGGCTTCTTCCAATATTGGATTACAAAACTGCTGGATGTTGAGATGGTGAACTCAAAGAAAAAAGTATTTGGTTTGATGTATATTCTTTTTCTATAATAGGTAATGATCAGTCCAGTGGTGTAAGCGTTGTTCAGAATGATGTGCCTGTCACGCCTCCTGCAGGTGCAGAGCTGCCACAGCATGATTATCATCAAGCTAGTACGAGTACAGCAGGTGCTTCAACTTCATGGTCAATTACGCCACCAGTGCAGATGTGTGTCCCCCCAAACTGGTCAGAGACAATGGACATACCTTGGAGCAAAATGCCAGTTGGCATAACTCAAGCAGTTAAAAATGCCAAACGACCTTCACCCGCTGATCGACGGAAAATGGTTAGAAAAACCGTTGAGTGTATGCAAAACTTCCAGCTGAACCCGACAAAGTCACAGTGTTCAACAGTAGCAAGACGAATTGTTTCAAAGCACCCAAACAGTTTTGCAGATGTGACGGACAAAGGTGAAAAATTAGGTTCCGGATACTATTCTTTGCTGATGCAGCTCAAGACACGAGTAGAACACGTCAACAGGGATAATACAATGGCACGTATCAGAAAACGACGCAAAGGTGTCCAACAAGCTGGAGAGGGTGCACCTGCCCGCAATGTGCCAGTAGACACATATGGATGTGTCAACTGGCAACCCGAAGAAATGCCGGACGATGAAAATGAAGAAAGTTTAGAGGCAAAACGCAGTGCACTGGAAGAGCTGTTCAATCAGCATGGCCCAGCCCCAAGTGGAACTTCAGAAAAGAAGATAGATGACACCATGTCCCTAACGTACTTTCTTCTACGGCAGCACATCAACAACAAAGATCCAGTTCCATCCATCAGTGAACTGAAGCAAAAGTGGCCATTCCTCTTTGTGCCAAGATGCTTTTTCGCTCATTTTAAATGTCTTACTGGCATTGAAATAGTGACGCGCTTGTACGAGGCCTTCCAGAGCAAAGGGAAAAGGATCCAGGGCTACATGGAACACCAAAACGAGCAAGTTCGAAAGCAGGTCAAGAACGTCTTGGCCGATATACAGTCAGCGCTTCCTGAGGTGGATGATGAACACCAGGTACTCTATCCTGGAGTCATTCTGTTGATGATGGCCTACTTCGAAGAGCCCGAAGATTCCCTGTTCATGTTAGCTGACGTAAGTTACGATTTTGTTTTCAATTCAAACGTAATTGAATGGTAGCCTATTTTTAAATCATTGTTATAGACCCTGCCTCGGAAATGATACACGCAGGGCCGCAGGGGCAGGAAAGTGCGTGTGTGACTTATAAATAACAAAATTTATGTTACCCAATTCCAAACTTTATACAAAGGTATTGCTTATGATTTTTTGTTTCAAAAAAGGGTCCCTGACAACAGACTTAAACAGTATAAGATTGCATTTTGCCATTTAAAAACTGTGGTTCAATATTGCACCAAGTGAGATGTTGATCCTTCTAAACAAGGTTTATATCAAGGACACATTTAGCCTAACACAACATGATCAGTACAATGCATAACGTGATAAATCTTTTCTTTTTCATTTTATATTGCAGGTGACAGCCACAGCTGCGGAAATCGAAGCTCTGCCAGACCTGCCTAACACACCAAGGTTGATAATGAAAGGTAATTTATTCATTTAAAGATTTGCCAAGTTTTACCCGAGTTAAGGAAACCATGAGTGACCATGTGGTTTCAAGAGATGATGGAGAGAACTCATGCAAAAGAAGTCCGTTTTTGCATTGTGAATAAGGCGTTATCAAGGCCTATACTAAACCAGCTGAAACTAGCTGAAATGTGCATTCTTGTGCACATGACTGACAGAGACATTTGCAGTTGATATTTTTTTTTTACTTTCTGTCCTCTTCCAAGGCTTATCATGTAATGTTAAAAGACACACTATTTCAACTCCATAGTTCAACACAAGTGTATGTGACATGAGGACATTCTATAACAAAAGCTACATGTAATCCATTATTGAGTGGTCAAACTCTTGTCCAAAGGCTGGATATTTATTCCCATATTTTGCAGTCAATTTCCCTTAACAAGTGCAGTTTAGTTTAATACGCCAGTAGTGAAGATCAATCTCCACCAACAAGAAATTCATACTGGGCAATATTGACAGCGCTACCCAAGAAATTCAAGCATCTCACTTGCGCACATTGGCTTATACATGTGTTATATATCTCTATTCCTTTAATTTTTTTCATCTTATCCTTTCTAGGGAATTCCATTTTGACAGCCCTCAAATGGATGCTATGCATTGAGGGAAAAGTTGTGTGCGCTTCGAGTTCAACGGACTTTATGACGGGCCTGGCCTTCTTGTTTGGTTCATACTACATACTAAACTTGGAGTACCAGGCGGAAGCTGCCACGACACTGGAGTTCATACAGAGGTAATGTGCTAAGCTTATATCGAATGCTTTTCTTGGCGGCTCTAATACTCAATCAGAGTGTTTTATCTGTCAATTATACAGAGTAAAATGGAGCACATTCCTCTCACGTCAACCGTTGAGTTATCCGTGAAAAAAATATAAGGGTGTGTCAGCAATAACGTTTGCAGTCATTCCTTCTAAATGCATGCCTTCCCAAATTGAAGAGCCTCTGTTTTGAGTACTATGGAAAGGTTTTCCATCCTCTGGGTTTCAGGGGTTCAGGCAAATCATTGCGTCAAACTGGAAGGGGGTGTCAAATGATTGATTTATTGTAGAGAAGTGAAGTCAAATCAAAGAGATAACATAAACAGTGCAGCTTGTTTTCAATTTTTGGTGTTTGACAAATTTTAGAAATATTTACCAAGATACTATGCAACAAGTAATTCACCAAACTAATTTAATTGCATTTTTGATATTTTAACCTTATAGCAATATTATGTATTTACTTACAGATGCTTCATGCGAATCAACCCGGAGTCTGGCTCAAAATGTACAGCAAAGGGTAAAAGCAAACGCACAGGCCAAGAAGTCCAACGAAAGCGTGAACTTATAAATTGTCGTGTGGCAACCTTTGTGCGGAAACTGGCCGACCATGAGTGGACATGTTGAAAATCCAATACCGGTAGCTCTAATAGTAATAGCGTGTAAAGGGAACATACTCACAAGGTCAAATCCGGACTTTTCCATTTCATCAGGCAAAGCTGCGTGAAATGGAAAAGTCCTTTGTTGTATATAACTAATCAAAAATTATAGTGACCTTAAAAATATTTCGTCTTGGAGCCAAGACGAAATATATCAGGTCACTACAATTTTTTGACTGGTATATTTCAGGTCAATTTTCAGTCAGTGAGCAGTTTGCAGAACTTTTATTATTCTTATACGCCGTTGTCTTGTCATTTGATTTATTTTTCCAATGCCAAAATGGTGAAAAATAGTTTTCTTCCTAAAAAAAAAACAAGGTTCAAACATACATGTCGAAGGTCAGTTTGCACAAACGATATCTCATGTTGAAATACAATTGATTTGGAAGTTCCAAAAATGCAAGGTTTGAAAAAGGATATAATTAGAAAATTGCAAGTGATAAAATTATTGTTGGCGGCAACCTTAGATATTTGCGCTGTTGTCCACTGTTCTTGAAATACAACATGATTTTAAAAAGTTCATTAAATTAAAAAAGTCTCATGGTATTTCATCATTTCTGATTTATTTTTCAACTGTACAGCTGTAAGTACTAAAGTTTTTTTTAAAACATTTTTAATAACTATACCTCAAACAATAATGTGTTTTTCTAATTCAAAACGGGTTTGGTGACTGCGCTGTTTAATTTTGTTTCGGACTATATTATAAAACCCACAAAAATATATTTAAAGTTCTGCCACGGATCACAAAAAAGGTGTGCGTTCTTTCAGCAAAACTAAAACAATTCACACATTACTATGTGATTTGTTTTCGTTTTGCTGAAAGAACACTGAACTTTTTTGTGATCCGTGGACAGAACTTTAAAACGGCGGTTGTGTTTAAATTCTGTAACTTGAAAAGTACATGAGTGATTTCAATGATTCTTGTACTAAAAGAAAGCATATGAATTGGGCTTTCATATCCTAGATTTTGAAAGTGCTACACTGTACATGCAGAACTTCACTAAAACACTGGTCCCAACATTTGGGTTTCGGGGTTTTGTTTACTCACCCTAGCTGTACATTTAAATTGATGGCATTAATAGAATGAAGAGTCAAATTTTAACTGTGAAATGTAATTGGAAATATGTATTTTTTTAATGGTCTGCGTATCTGAAGGGCTGTCAGGTTTTTAAGTCTGAAAATTGAGCATTTGGCTTAGTAGGTGTGTAGGGTTTGTTTGTGGAGTTAATTAAGGACACGAACATGTAGCATCATATATAGGTCAGGGGTCAAATTGAGGATGACCTCGGTTAGAAACATGCCCAAAATTTGTTGTCAAAAAATTAAGAGTATAAAAAATGATGCTGAGTAACAAAGAATATCCTCGATTTACACCGTGCCCATGAACATGCGTGTATGTTGGGGGAGAGTTTATGTGCCAACATTAAAGTTACGTCAAATTTAAATTGCTGTACAGTGTAAATTGGTTATTTGTAATATTAAATCATTTTCATATTACTACATAATACAAGAAAGGCATTGCTTTTCCCTCTCATTTTCATAATGTTAACATGCACAATATAAGTTGTATATAGTGCACACTGATTAGAAGACGGCATCATGAGTGCTTAACGATCATGAAATTAATTACGAAGTAAATGGTGCCATGATGAAAGACGTTTCCCTGATTTGAAGTGGGATATTTGAAGATACATGTACATATTGCAATGAAACTTCTTTGTATTTGTATTAGTTATCATTGTTACAATTGACGCAATAAAAGAACAAAAGTTCAACGTGGAAAGGCAGCTTTGTATCTTGGAACATTAATATTGGATTACTGTAAACTTGAAGGTCACTGAGAATCCAGCTGTAAATTACTGTTAATTACTTTACAATAAGATCACCACTACTGTATATTATACGGTACTGCACTGTAAGTTTTTGCTGTACAGTACCGTAATGTAAACAGTAGTACTGTTCTTACTGTAAAAAAAACAGCAATTTACTATTGTATGCAAATACAGTATGATGTTATTTACTGTAAAGATTACTGTACATTTAGCTGTACGTTACTGTAAAAAGCTTTACAGTAAGATCAACTTTACTGTATAAATTATACAGTACTTTACGGTGAGCATTTCACAGCAGTACCACTCTTACTGTAAAAAATACAGTAATTTACCTTTTCTCTTAAATACAGTATGACATTTGTTACTGTAAAATTTACAGTAAACGGCTGGCAACTGAGCTGCCAGTAAATTACTGTAATTTTTACAATAAAAGTTTTACAGTGTGGGTTATAACTTGTCAACACATACCTCGCCAGCGGGCCCATTAGATTGGTGATAACCGGAGAGCGGGAGTTTCAAAAAAACTCATCCGTTTAGGCGACGCAGGGACTGGTTTGTGTACATGTGGTTTTTGTTTCTAGTTCACTTAATGTTTTGATTTATACCGGTGATAATATGCCGTCCCACCTGTTTTTCTTTTTTGTGTGTCGGGGGAAACAGTGCATATTTTCTGTGCCCTTTTTACGCACTTCATCAGTCACCCTTTGTTTAATTCTTTTGTATGTATTTACTTTATTGCTAATGATGGTAAAGAATATTTTACGCGTTAGCTTTTCTTGTAATGATCAGACTAAGTGGATTCCTTATTTTTTTATTTTTTATTTTGAAATCCATGCCTAAATGACCATTATGTTAGTTCTGTTCTTCAAGAAGTTCCAAAAGGATTTGAACGTTCTCCTCATCCAAGTTTTTTTCTTGGTTGGATGGTGGAGATGGGTTAATCCTTGATCGGACCAGGCCATCTTTTATGTTTTTTTGTCGTTTGTATGCCAGGATGGGTTGGGTTGCAAAGAGTGCACTGAGAAAATCATTATCGCTGATCAGATTCCAGTGTTTCAGAAGGGCCTGCTTAAGAGCTGGGTGTTTAATTTGTGGGTTGTAGGGTAAAACAAAGACCAGCGGGATATTCTTTTCGGTTTTTGCACGCTTTTTAGAGTTCACGCGAGTTTCGCCTTTTTGGGGAAGAAGGGCTAAATCTTCTTGGTTGTATCCGCGTTTTTGTAGTTTGTCTTTGAAGAATTCAACCTTCTCCTCAAATTCTTTTGAGTGTGTGCATATACGGTCATATCTCATTACTTCTCCCTTAATCAAACCGCCAAATACTGACTCAGGGTGGGCTGAATCTCGAGCAAGATACTGAAAGGTATCAGTTTTTTTGGTTGCTAATCGAGTATCCAATTTCCCTTCTTTTTTGAACCGTTCGCCTTTGTAGATGACGAGGTCGAGGAAGGTGACTTGACTGTTCGAAATCTCTGACGTGAACTTGAGCGTGGGATGAATTTGGTTTAGAGTTTGGACGAGGTCACCGGCTTGGTCTTCGTTACCGTTAAATATTATTAAGACGTCGTCCCTGTATCTCATGTAACTCACAATTGAAGGATTGTGTGGGAGAATAATTTCTTGTTCATATTTGAACAGGGTTATATCGCATATTTCTGGACTGCATTCGCTTCCCATAGCCACGCCAATTTTCTGTCTGAAGAACTTTCCATTGAATTCAAATATGTTTCGATGCATGATAAGTTCCAGGAGACAACGAGCGTGTTCTCTTGTAGGTTTGGGTATTGCGTACAGACTGTTATCGGCAACTTCAAGTGCATCGCAGACTGATTCAATTGCCTCATCTTGTGGGCAGTTTGTATACATGGACACAATATCCAATGTGATCAATAGGCTATCCTGCTTCAATGTCACGTTGTTTAGTTTTTCAAGCACATGCCCGGAATCGCGTGTATATGTGCTTTGTTGTTTGACAATCGGAAGCAGAAAATAGTCTATGTATTTTGAAATTGATTGAGTCGGACCTCCGCAACCACTAATAATAGGCCTCCCCACAAACCGCGTTTCTTTGGGTGCTTCTTTGTGAACTTTCGGTAAGAGGTAGAGGCAAGGAGTTTTGATGTCGTGGTTGTCAAGGTTGAGAAACTCAAATGTTTTTTTGGATATTACTCCATCAATGTGAAGTCTGCGTATGGCTTGAGCGACCTGTTGTGCGGTTTCCCCAGTCAGATCCCTATCAATCTCTTCATAATGTGGGCCTGATAATTGTCGTAGCCCCTCATGTATATAGTCTTGTCTGTTTAGAACACATACACCGCGGCCTTTATCGAATGGTTTAATGACTATGTCTCGTCTTTGCTTAAGGCCGGTCAGAGCGATGCGTTCCGCTTTTGATATGTTGGATTTTACATTTTTTATTTCCAACTTGGATAATTCCTCCAAAGTACCCTCAATGTATGATTCTAGATTAAGGTTGAAGGTAGGTTGGGGATCCCAAGTGGAGGGCAATTTGAAAGGATGCGAATTTGAAGGTCTCACTCTCCCTGCCATTTTTAGACGTAATCTCATTTTTCTGAAAAAATGATTGGGAATGGCGAAGGATGGTGGACCTTTTTGGTTTTTTAGGGGTGGGTATAAAGTTCAAACCCCTGCCTAGAGCAATCAGTTCAATGTTGGAGAGCTGAGAGTCCGAGAGATTGTTAACATAAGGCATACTCTGTTTAGCTTTCAGCTCAAGAGAGATCGTCTTCGCCCATTTCTTGTGCTTTTTGCTTATTTGGCGAGATTGGACAGATCTATTCTTGGCTGCATTCGTTTTGTTATTTTTTTGGCTTTTATTCAGTCTCCTCGCCATGCTCAAGCAGACTCAATGTAAACCTGTGTTCAATAAGTATTGACTGAATGAGGTCTGCAAGAGAGCGTGGAGATTGTGGTTTTGGTTTTAGTGGCATGCCAGCAACTTATATGTGGGAGCTGGGCGAGGTAAGGGGTACAGCGCATGTGCAAGACGGGGTGCAAAGTCACTGCAAGACGTGTGGAATCAAGCGCAAAAGAAACAGCCGGGCGGGCGCAGGGGGGGGGGGGTAAAGAATGTTGACATAGGTTGGGGAGGGAAGCGATAAGTTGTTTTGGCTTTAATTCAATTACCATCATTGCGTGTAGATTTAGATTTCTGACATTATGTTTTAATACATGGATGGAGTGAGGAGCAGCCCGTCATCTTTATTTATTATTGTACTGTGGAAAGGGGCTAGTCCAAACTCACCGGTATAAATCAAAACATTAAGTGAACTAGAAACAAAAACCACATGTACACAAACCAGTCCCTGCGTCGCCTAAACACCGGATGAGTTTTTTTGAAACTCCCGCTCTCCGGTTATCACCAATCTAATGGGCCCGCTGGCGAGGTATGTGTTGACAAGTTATAACCCACCCATTACCGCAACCCAGCAGTGGAACTGATCTTACTCCCTACATGCGTATTGAATTTCCAAAAAAGGAAAAAAAAACCTTAACAAATACGCTCTAGGCAGTTTAGTCATATAACTACACAGGTATCCATACCAGTGCTTGTAAGTTTTAAATAAACGAAAATCTTCCCTAGCTGGTTGCAAACACAATGTTTTCAAAAAAAGATTCATCAGCTCGCAGAGCCCCTCGTACTCCAATGTTATCATACATCCCATAAAAAGAAAAGAATGAGGAACGGCCATGCTGATGCTGATAGCAAATCCCATCCCCCTCCCATGTTTTAACCCTATTTCACGGCGGCAACCTTCTTGGAATGACCTTGGAACTTTCCAACAAGTTATTAATATCAACAGATTATTTCCTGAATTTTGCCTGCACAAAACCGGTTCTTCCTTGCTATTTTTCTAGCCAGAAAACCACTTCCTTTTAAGAAAACACAAGTCTGATAAAAACTTAAATGCATGGTGGCGGCCAAACTCCATTCCATTTAACTTAAAATGTAGTGGCGACATGTATGATTACGCCCCTTCCTATTAAACACAAAAACACTAAAAAAGGTCATAATTATGACCTATTATTAAGTCATAATTATGACATATCTTATAATAATGACTTAGTATCAAGTCATAATTATGATTTATCACATAATTACGACTTAGTAATTGTTAAATCATAATTATGACTTATGTCTCATATTTGTGACTTATTATAAAGTCATAGCTATGATTCATATCTGATAATAATGACATTATTAAGTCGTAATTATGACATATCTTATAATTAGGACTTCGGTATTTAGTCTTATAATTACGACTTAGGATATCTCATTATTGTTGTTATTGTATCGCATAAATGTTTTGTATCAGTTCGATCTGTAATTTAACCAAGTAAGCGTTTTGGTAATTCACAGGTTATTATTTGGGGATTAATGCCACAGATCCATAATATATTATATTTAATATTCTACAGGGTTTCGTTCCGAGACCTGGTCGTTCGTCGTACTGATTCTGGTCGTACTTTTGACAATCTTCACCGTTTGTTTGTACATCGAGGCGCTGGTTTTCCTTCATCGTCGCTTTGAATTCGGTTCTAGGCGGGGGTATCTCATCTACATATGCGGTGTGTTTCCGGTGAGATTAAATTTAAATCCCCATCCCCAACCAACCCCAAGCCCAACCCTAACTTAAATTTTACCACATAACTATGTACGAATCAGAGGTACTTGGTGATTAAAAAAAAGCGGAACCCCCATACCCCCAAAATTATATTTCATATTTTTTTAAATATAAAAAAATTGTTGGGGTTTAGGTTCCGCTTCTTTTTTTAATCACCCTGTAGCAGCGGGTATTCCGCAACCAAAGATTTTTATAACAAGATGGAATTTGCGTTTGTTTAACAGATATGAATCTATAGTACTCGGCTGATAAGTATCAAGATGGGTTTTTGGTCAAATCGGTACTATTCTCGCGAAACGTTAATTACAAATTGATTGGAAGATATCAATAATGAAGTGAATTTATTTGTAATTTATCACCATGACGACAACGCAGGTGCATTCGGTTACATCGTTTATCGGACTGTGTATACCAACGGCTTCATTTGCATGCAACTTCCTAGCCGATATGTAAGTAGTGGTTTTTTTTTCATATAAGTTAAGCAGGAACTGCTTAACTTATATGAAAACAATGTTTCTGTTTCACCCTACTCCCAATTGTTTTCATAAACAGTTCATCGACTGATTTATTTTCTACACCTTGATTAAACATCTTGATTGGCCTTGAATTACCTTGTGAGTGCGTTGGTGAATTGGTCGGTTGGTTGGTCGGTTGGGTGGTCAGGTAGTCGGTTGGTTGTTGGTCGGTCGATAGATCTCTGTCTGTCGTGCAGAGTTGCTGATGTGTGCATATTTAATGTATTTATACAGTACACGACACGTGTCCACCAGTATTGGTGCTCAAGGCGCTACATCATTATTACCCTGCTCACTGTGCTAATGAAACATTAGAAATACCATCTCAGCTCCCTGGGGAGTATGTACAGATAGATGCTGCCATTTCGGCGCAAAGCAGCTAAAAATAACGACAATAACCATCTCTGCTCTCACAGGTACCCATTTTACTCCTGGGTGGAGAGAAGCAATGAGTGACAAAGTGCCTTGCCCAAGGGCACATGCACCATAGTCAGGCTGGATTCGAACCCACAACCTGCACATCACGAATGTAATGTTCCAAACCACGAGGCCACAGCACATGCAATGTGTCAGTCAGCCAGTCTGTCAGTCGGTGAATTGATTGACTGGTTGGTTGGTCATCCAATATAGGAAAACCCAGTTTGTTTGGGAAACACTCTTAGTTCTGGACACTCAATATGGTTTACATGTATACATTAAAGGTACATAGCGATGGCGCTGTATGCCCTCCTCCTACTGATGACCGACCTCTTTGGGGGACTTGATGAGACGGTGAGGGCGCTGTCGGAGACGGCCATTCCACTAAGACAGCCACCGTGTTGCTGCTGCGTTTGTCTTCCGTCTGTCAATTTTAACAAGTAAGTTAGACGTCAAGTTTGCTTTTGTTTGTTTGTCCCAACGAACTAACAGCTTGTGCGTCTATTTGGGGTTAGAACTTGGCAACATCACAGATGGACAGTACATCTTTAAGGAAAAAAAGTGATAATATGTAAATAAATCGCAGTATAACTTGACGCATTAGGTCATTGGGTTCATTATTTTCCCCGGCCAATATTTTTTTTGTTTCAGGAGAATGTTTCATCGAATTCGCGTGGGCATGTTGCAGTACATCATCGTGTTGCCCATCGTTGTTCTTGTACCGGCGTTACTGTGGGTTGATCAACTGAACCAACCTAGCCAGGTATGTCCATTTCTTTTTCCATTTTTCCCTCTCTTAAAAATATTACAATCATTTTTTTCTCTATTGTTTTACCAAATCAGTTAAAGTTATGGGAAAGAATTCCACACTCGGACGTCAGCTGGCCACTATCGTTACTAATGTTAACCTCATCTTGTGATTTCACCCAATACGAATCCAGAAAGCCCTGGAAAAGTGAAGACATTTTCGAAAAAAACTGTGTTTTTAGAGCACACTTTGGATGCACACATCAGCTCGGCAGCAGACGGTCTTGGCAGCCATGCATTGTGGAATTGGTTAAGTGCGCGTGACGTGACATCGACAACGCACTACCCGTACCCAATGAGAGTGCAATACGTCATCATGAATATTTAATTTCTCATAAATATTTAGTTCATTGAATATTCATTAGCCTTATACTTTAAATACATCGCCCTTTTGGCGGCAACGATCGTTCGACTAGTGTAACGGATAAGGCTGTGATTGAGTAACAAGATTGCAGGATTGAATCACATACAGTGGATTATTAAGTCACTGGTAAATAAAAAGGATTAAAAAGGATTGGAGGAAGGTAGAGATTGAGAGTCGAGGAGGAAAGTAGATGACAGTACCATAGAAATTACTTTTTGGCGCTTGAAAATTGATTGAAAAAAAATGGCGTCCGTGTATGCAAATCTTCCCAAATTATGCATCTAGACCAATCTCTCCCTTCAAAAAAATTTCCGGGTTTATTTTTTATAGTCCTCGGGGATCTACTCTACGATTGAAATACCGGCTACCGTGATCAACGCCCTGTCTACCCTGACCGCGATTTACTCCATCATGCTACTGTTCAGAGCGTCGCGGGCCCCGTTGAGACGCTTCCAGCTGCCCGGTCAGTTCGTCTCCGTGCAGCTCGTACTGGTGTTGGTGAATTTTCAGCGGGTCATTCTCACGATTCTTATACGGCTGAATGTCGTCGAGTGCATCCAACCGCTTCACTGCACTTCAGATTTGGTTTTGAAGAGTGAGTCTTAAAGAAAAATTGTTTATAAAGTTTGTTTATAACATTAACTTCAGCTTTCAACGTTATTGTTTGCAAATTTTTGGTTCTAAAACTAAAATACAAAGGGTTAAAGGTACAAAATCATGATTATTTTGCTCCTTATTCCCTTTTTTTTCGATTTGAGTAACAAAATTGCAACAAAATATTAAATAGGATGCATATTTACTGTACAGCTGTTGAAGTTTTCGCTCAGTGGATTTCATGCATTATAAAAAGCAAAACAAAAAGTACAGTACCTTTCGATCTTCTAAATGGATCCTGTTGCGGACGCATGTAAAAAAAAATGTGCCAGAGGGAACACTTTTTTAAAACATCTTCAATTATTTTCTTTTAATGGAAATCATTTCTGGCGGAATAAATTCACAGGGTATTTGGTAGCACCCCTATTCAATTTTAGCTAGGTTTTCTCATGAAATCGGTGGGGTTTTTTTTCGGGTAATGGTCAATTTCCCTTTGTGCCTTTTAATGCAACTTGATTTAAATACTTGCAATGGTCTTGTACCCATTTCAGCCCTGTTGAATCTCTTGATTCTCTTCGAGATGCCCCTAATCATGCTAGGCAATCGCATAGTGATTCAGAGGTGGATCCGATCCGGCACCAACACCCAATGCTTTCAGCCCGACGTCAAAGCCGACGCTGAGGGCGGCAAACACATCTGCTTGCCCCCCTCTGAGAATAACCACAATGACGGAGCATTTGACAACAAGGCGATCTCTGGAACGGACCCCGATCTGTCGACGCTCGTGTGAAGATATTATAATAAAAACCAAACATGGAGGAACATAGCCTAGGAAGCTCAGTTGGTACAGCACTGGAACGGTAACTCAGACGACGCAGGTTCGAAACCCGCTGCCGTCAACTTCTTTGTTCAGATTACAAGGCATCGATCATTCAGTTCCCGTAGTGATTTATATGAATCCAAAGAAATGTCCGTGAAAATCCGAACAATGTTATCGCTGGTGAACTTTAATACCAATGACGTTATTATAGTTGAGGCCAGTATTGAAATTAGGGTGTGTATACATAATTGGTTCTGCTTTTCAAGGAGGTCCGATCGTGGGGTCTATACAGAGTTACCATTAATATTCAACCCCCGAAATGTTCCCAGCCTGGTACGCGTACTGCCTGCTCTGCGCACGAGTGTTTACACAATTTTCCGTGTCAAATCGGGCCAATGTGCTATATTTTCTCGTTTGTTGCGGGAGAGATTCCAAAATTGTTTTTGCTATATACATTAACTTTTTAGGAGTAAACAGTAACTAAACTCTGTAACTGTACCAATTTTCATGGGCGACATTATGCGATGTTTTTTGCACCATTATCTACAATGTAATCTGTAAAAGCAAGTCTTGTCCCCTCTCCCTTACAAAAAAACCGGCTGGCAAGTAAACCATAAAAATTGAAAAATGCTTGTTGGAAATATTTGGGCCGAGAACGCACCGGTAACACGGTTTTGTTGTAGTTGGGCTGACTAATCGATACTCCTGAAAAAAGTGAACTGTCATGTTGTGATTCGTGGTGGAAACAGTATCCCATACTGTTGCGCGCTAATTAATTATAAAGTCTAACTTCTGCAGTTGTTAGCAATTATTTCGTGGTTAACGTAGACATTGTGTGCAGACAAAGCAGGATTCTAATAATAAGGCATTCGTTCCAGCTTTATTCCGGAAAACGCTCCCTGCAACCTTCAAGATGGAATTTAATTTGAGTCGCATTCCCAGCTCTGCTGAAATGTTTGGCCGTGAGTACATTGTTGAAACCTTTGCCGATTTTATACCAATCATTAGTACGGCGATACAGATCTGGCATCTGTTTCTGTCGCTTGTAATATTGCGACGAAAACACTGGTTAAACTTGTCGACGAATGGACTATATTTTGTTCTTGGATCCTGGTGACGTGGGTGACCATGCTTAACCGATATTGTAACCCAGGAGAAAAGTCGTACATTTGAGAGGTTTTTTTTTATCTTCAATTAAAAACAGATCAAAATGTGGGCCAGGCCTAAAGTAATTTAGTATATTAATCTTTTAAAGATGTTTTTCTCGCTTTCTTTTATTTCAAATCATACATTTGCAACATATTTTGCACTTTGTATTATTGTCAATATTGTCTTTTAATTTGTGTCCAACAAATTGTAGCTATGTAGAAAGGGTTTATGGCTCCTTTATTTTCCGCCATTTTGAAAATCTGCCACCTTTGGGGATAAAAAGGAGGGACAAAAGCGCCCGCCTCTCATTTTTCAAAAAGGCCGGACTAGAAACTACGTTTTTTGTTTTCATTCGGTCTATGTGCCCACTTTTTCACGACCGAAGTCTAATTAGTGCAAAATGAGTACCTTTTAATAATTAATCTACAGCATGTCATGAACTCAGACCCCAAAGAAATGTGTTGCATGGCCTCTCATCTCAATTTTCCTTTCTAGCAGACGCAGGTGCAACAGATTATAAGAGGCACACCGGACAAGTATCACTCTCTAACAGTGACCATTGGGCTTGGTAAAAAGGTTAAAAACGTGGTTATCCAAGTCCATCTTGATACAACATGGTGTAATAAGTATATACGCGTGAACATAAAAACTTGTAATTTGTATTGGATATAACTATTAAAATTATGGAAATGTCGGTGAAATTCTAGATTGAATTATTTTGCAAGAAAAGTAATTGACTCATAGTCAAAGTAGCATATGGTGTTACCCTTTATACCCGCGGACGTGTCATTTTCATTCGAGTACGAACTGATGGACCGAATTAAAGTGTTTAGTACGAACTTCAATCCAAATAAGTAAAAAGTAAAGTCTGTCATGAGCCAATGTGGCCCATCAGGCCAGCGTTTATCTCAGTGGTTTTAGTAGCATGCAGTGATTGAGACTACATCTACTCCCCTGGATGGGATGCTAGTCCATCGCAGGTTACTCCCCAGCTCATGTCGGTACCCATTTATACTCCTGGGTAGAAAGAGGCAAGTGGGGGTGGAGTGGCTTGCCCAAGGACACAACATATGGCCAGAAGCTGGATTCGAACCCATGACCCTCGTGTCACGAGTCACGAACCCTAACCACTAGGCCACACTCCCCCAACCCAAGTAAGCTTTTTAATAATACATTTTGTAATTTGGTTGGTTAAATGCAAAAGATCCTAGTTTTAATTTGTTTTAAGCATAACTTTAATGTTCTGCCTACAGGGTTTCATTCCGAGACCTGGTCGTTCGCCGTACTGATTCTGGCCGCAATTTTGACAATCTTCACCGTTTGTTTGTACATCGAGGAGCTGGTTTTCCTTCATCGTCGCTTTGAATTCGGTTCCAGGCGGGGGTATCTCATCTACATATGCGGTGTGTTTCCGGTGAGATTAAATTTCAACGCCTAACCCAACCCAACTCTAACCAACCCCAATTTGCGTTTGTTTAAAAGTTATGAATCTCTTGTACTCAGCTTCCTATGTGATTTTGGTCAAACCGGTAATATTCTCGCGAACAATTGGAAAGTAATTGTAAGATATCAATAATGAAATAAATGTACTTGTAATTTATCACTCTGACGACATCGCAGGTGCATTCGGTTACATCGTTTATGGGACTGTGCGTACCAACGGCTACATTTACATGCAACTTCCTAGCCGATTTGTAAGTACATGTAGTGTTTTCTTAAATACAATTTCAGGAACTGCTTAACTTACAGGGTGAGTGAAAAAAAAGCGGAACCCAAACCCCAACAATTATATTTCATGTTTATATCAAACATAATAATGACTGGAAAGCCAATTTCATCAATTACTTTTAGATGAACTCATTTCTGAAATGGCTCAATCCGTTCAAAGAATATCACCATTTAAACACAATGCCCTAAAACCTCTTAGGTCCAAAATGCAGTCGGTGGGTTGATTGATTGGTCGGTTGGTTGGTTGGTAGGACAGTGATCCATCATAGGAAAACCCAACAATGTTTGTTTGGAAAACACTCTTAATTCTGGACACTCAAAGAAACGGATGTACGTTGTATACATTATAGGTACATAGCGATAGCGCTATATATCCTCCTCCTACTGATGACTGACCTCTTTGGAGGACTTGACGAGATGGTGAGGGCGCTGTCGGAGACGGCCATTCCACTGAGACAGCCACCGTGTTGCTGTTTCCTATTTTGTCTGCCGTCGGTCAAACTTAATAAGTAAGTTAAATGCCAAGTTTGATTTTTTTCTTGTACCAACGAACTACAAACTTTTATGTTTAAAAATTTAAAAATCTGCTATAGACTATATCTTGGGCGGCTTCGATTCTCTGAAAATAGGGTTTTTAATTGGTTGCTTTAATTGCGTACAAGCAGATTTCAAACAAACAATTGATTTCCGGCCTACATTATCGATCCTGATAGGGGTTGGGAACCAGTCTACCCTGCCACAACTGAATGAATGTCTCGCCGCAAATAATTTGAAATTTGTGGATTGTACTAATTGGTATTTGCTCACTTTTATACCTCGAGTGAAAAAGTTCAAAAGAGAAGTCTTATAATGCCGGGTGAAACTCGAAAACATCACGGACAGTATACATCTTTAAGAAAAATGATACGAGGCTCACTATACGTAAGGAAATCGCAGTCTAACTTGACGAGTTACAAATTTGATAATTCGGTTGATATTTTCCCTTGAAATATGTGTTTAGGAAAATGTTTCATCGAATTCGAGTGGGCGTGTTACAGTACATCATTGTGTTGCAGTTTGTCGCTCTTTACCCAGCGTTAATGTGGGTTGATCAACTTATGCTACCCAGCCAGGTACAGTCCCTGAGTTCCCCTCGCAAAAGAAATAAATAATAGCTTTTAGGCTACCTCCTTTGTTTTACCGAATCAGTTAAAGGCCTATTTCTCCCTCAAAGTAAATGTATCCCTTATTTAGTCCTCAAAGATCTACTCGACGATTGAAATACCGGCTACCGTGATCAACGTCATGTCTACCCTGACCGCGGTTTACTCCGTCGTGCTACTGTTCAGAGCGTCGCGAGCCCCGTTGAGAAGCTTCCAGCTGTCCGGTCAGTTTGTCTCTGTGCAGCTCGTACTGGTGTCGGTGAATTTTCAGCGAGTCGCCCTTACGGTTCTTATACGGCTGAATGTCGTCGAGTGCATCCGGCCGCTTCACTGCAACGCGGATTTGGTTTTGAAAAGTGAGTCTGCATTTTTTATGTTCACTGTTTAAATTTGTTTATGAATTTTAAACTTTCAAGTTCAAATTTCTTATTGGTTGAAACTTGACCCAAACATAAAGGGTTAAAGGTTCATATAATAATTTGCCCTTAATGCCCTTTGTTTCGTTTTGAGCAACAAAATTGCTCAAAATATCTCAATACATGTACTTGCAATGGTCTTGTCCCCATTTCAGCCCTGTTGAATCTCCTGATTGTCTTTGAGATGCCCCTGATCATGCTAGGCAATCGCATAACGATTCAGAGGTGGATCCGATCCGGCACCAACACCCAGTGTTTTCAGCCCGACGTCAAAGCCGACGCTGAGGGCGGCAAACACATCTGCTTGCCCGACTCTGAGAATAACCACAATGACGGAGCATTTGACAACAAGGCGATCTCTGGAACGGACCCCGATCTGTCGACGCTCGTGTGAAGTTGTCAACAGTATAGATAATGAAAAACAAACTCGCAGGACAATAGGGCTAGATAGCTCAGTTGATATTGCTCCGGAATGATAACCCTGATATGTCGCAGGTTCAAGTCAATTTCTGTGTTCAACCTAAATATTACAAGGCACCGATAGTCAGCTATCTTTGTGGTTTATTTAACTTGTAGAAATTTAATATATCAGTCTGTTTTGAAAAAAAAAATTGGTGTCAAGACCACACCCCCCACCCCTTTCGGGAAATGGATCCGCCAATGCTTACACAGACGTTTTGCACTGCAGCCCTCTATGAGGTGAGTGTATTTGTTCAGCAGGGATACCCATGATACCTCGTGTGCATGCATTAACATAACAAAGCACACCTCAAAATGTCTGCCAAATGCAATCGAATAATGAGGAAGATACAGAGGTATAGATGGAAAGAGAAAATGAAACACTTTTCTCGAAGTGAGGAGAATATTTTCCCCTGTTTTGCTGTCTTTTTAATTGTTTTATACGTGCGTGAATTTACAATGCTTTAGTTAATTTTTTTAGCATTATGAAAAGCGTCTTCATGATTCGATGAACTGATTTTGCGTACATTGCAACTCTTTTCATCTAGGCAATGTGAAATTAGTGATTAAATGTAATCTTGTATTGTTATCAAGGCGTTATACAATAAAATAGCATTGCGAAATGGCAAATAAAATGTGTCGTTTTTATCATCTTTCCTGTCGTATGTAAAACATGTAGGCCCTATAGATCACCAAAGCTTGTACTAGATCCCCCCCCCCCCCAAAAAAAAAAACCCCGAAATGACTTGACCCCAAGTTAATACAACCCAAGCTTATAGCCCAAGCGCAGGGTAAAGATTGACCCAAAGATATAGGCAAATACAACCCAAGCGTAGCTTCAGGGTGCAACAGTGCAAAAAAATTCCCATAGCCACTAGTGCTAAATGCCCATACTTCAAAATTCTTTTAAAATACTCAGAACTCTCACAGGTATTAAAGCGGTCATAATAGCTTGATTGTTGACCTTTTCTTATGAAATTAAATCTGTTCACGTCAAACATCATGACAAATGAGTGCACGAAAATTCATTTTAATGTAACGTGTATTTCTTGAGTTGTTGCCCCCAAAACGAGTTTGTTCTGTATTTCAAAATTGAATATTCAGTGATTTGACATGATGACTGTGTTACATTATGAGATTTAATTTCATGACAAACCATCAAACAATGAAAAAGAGCATACCCGAAACAAATACAGTATTTTAAACGTGAAAAATACAAACCAAATGAAAAATGAAAAGTCAACGTCCATGGAAAAATAATAATAATACACTCGTTGTTTGAGCACTACAACAGAGTGAATTGCTGTAGAGGGGTAGTAAGCAGGGGCATCTCCAGCTTTCATGAAAACGGGGGGGGGGGGTATGAAAGGTGGGTCGGTGAAGGCACGTCTAATTGCTTGGGGGTCCTGGGCATGCCCCAGTAAATTGAAATTCTTCTGTGCTGTTTCTTGCATTCTAAGGCAATTTGAGAATACCTTTAGTAATTTAAGCATTGCATTTGTTATTTTTTGCCCCACTATCAGTGGCGTAGCCACGGGGGGCGTGGCCCCCCCCCAAGAAACCTTTTCCCCCCCCCAGTCGCCCCCCCCCCCAACTGAGAGTTAGAGTTTCTAAAAAAATTATCATTGATCTACATGATGCCCCCCCCCCCCCCCATGAAATGTTCCAGCCCCCCCCCCAGCCCCCCAGCGGCCCCCCCCCCCCCCCCACTGAAAATTTTGACTCGGAAAACACATCTTTGACTCATTTTCCGGGTCTATTTGACCCGGAAAAGTGTACTTATGACCCGGAAGAGTGTCATATTGACACGGAAGACTCTCATGCCCAACATGACCCGGATTCCTGGTCGAAACTGGCCTAGGACTTTCTAGAGTGCATGTAGGCGCCATGCAGCTTGTCTTTTTGCAAATTTTGAGATATGGCGGACACAATAGGAGGGCGCTTTTTGATTTAGCTAAATT